CTGAAATCTCATGACAGTTCTTGTATAGACTACCAGGTGAGAGACACAGTGTCATTTACATGGTTAGTGGAGATAGCCGGGTTTTACTTGTTTTATTCTGCACATTTGTACAGGTGTTTACAGAATTTAAAAAAGCAGTAGCCTTCACACAATGACAAACCAGTGCAGCAACTTGCTTACCCTGGAGTGTTCACCGATTTGTGTGTTAAATATTCTTTATTTCCTTCATAGGCAGTGTTCACTGACCCTAAAGTGAAGTGTAAATTTCACAGCCTATCAAGGGAAAACATTACAGATGTGATTAAATGTTTTTTTTTTTCTATATGATCTCACATACTCCCTTGAGGGACCGCCTGTTGCGCCCTGATACTGTCAGCAGCGCCATTATAGGGTGGTAAATAGGTTTCTCCTGGGCACTGCTGCACAACAGCAACACATTAAATGCAGTAAAGGGGGTGTTCCTAATCTCCATATCCTTGGCAGCTCTCAGTCCAAATGAAACCAGAAACAGAGAATCGCATTGCAAGTTTCAGTGCAAGAGATATAAAAAGTGCTTCTTCGAAAACTGAGGTCCTGCCTCTCTGTGGTGATTAAAAATCCCAGGGCGTTTCTCGAAAAGAGTAGGGGTGTAACCCGTAACCCGGCAGTGTCCTGGCCAATTTCCCCCTGGCCTTTACCCATCATGGCCTCCTCATAATCTCCACCTCAGAACTGGCTTCATCCCTCTGCTCTCCACCCCACTGAGAGCTGGTGTGTGGGGGTGTACTGGAGCACTACGGCTGTTGCATCATCCAGGTGGGGCTGCACACTGGTGGTGGTGGAGGGGATCCCCATTACCTATGAAGCGCTATATACAGGTACTGTAAGTGTCATTAATTATTATTATTATTATTATTGTTATTATTATTATTATTATTATTATTATAAATTCTTGTGCTAGACAAGACTCCGAGGTTCTGCAGGACAGCCCCGTCATCCTGCCACCTGCGAAGCAACATCAGTTCCTCCATTCGTACCGGCCAGGTTTGTCTTATGCTTGTTACTCAGTGCTCACGACCACAGGAGAATCGACCGGTAAACAAAGAGCCTCGTCCGAGAACGGACAGGGTCCGGAGCAGCGTCCGCGACACTGCTGGTGTCGCCCAGATCGACGGCCTGGGCTCACGTCACCGCCGCCGTGAACAAGACCCACCAGGCTCTGTCCCCTCTCCTTGAGAGAGCCGTATCCCTACTTTAAAGCTATCATTTCTGGAAACGTTTAAATTCTTATACTGTAGCTCACAGTTTTCTGGTTGTTTTTTTCTTCTGCTGTATGAGCTTGAAACTGAGAGATTGAACTGAGTCTGCAACACAGGAAGATGCTTCCCCATCCAGTATCTGTGTATCCAAGCCCACTGTGAGCTTCTTTTCACCCGGTCCCTGCGTCTGGGGGGAGCATATCAACAACAAAGACTACAGGGAAATAAAATAGAGGAATTCAGACAGGGACCAGTTGATGCTTCGAATTTTTTTTTTGCACTTGTAAAATTTGAGTTCGCTGTGTAATTATTTTCTGAATGAATAATGAGTATTATTTCACTTTTGCTCCTTCAGCAATTACAGCAATTTACAGAAAGGTCACCTAGTGGTCTGCTCAGACTGGTGGAAGACAGAGGCTCATGGAAAACTAATGGCACATTTGTGTTCTGTACATTACTTCTAATGAAGACAACTAAATCTCATAATTTGCCCTTTATGCTGCAATTTTAATTTAATTGAAGGAGACCTTAACAGTATTGCATGTACAGTCCAGTAGTATTGCATGGAATAATGTACATAAACCTTGTCTTGTCCTTTCTAGCCCATTTGAGTGTTTGTCTGCATTATATGGAACAACCTCTTTTTGTCAGTGCCTTCTTTTCAGACACACATGACAGTTCTTGTATAGACTACCAGGTGTATTTGCTGTTCTTATGCATGGTGGCCGGAGTTAACACTGAGCTGTCAAGAGTGGAACCTGATCACACGCTAAAAGTGTTCCTACTGATATGTGAACTATGAAACTGATACAGATTGTCACTAATTTTATTTTGTTCAGACAGTAAGTACAGTACGAGGGTGCCCCATTGTGGTTAAGAACTGATACTATTAGCTAATGATTCTGAAATGCTCCATAACAGGTCTGGATTATTATTGAGGATGCTTCAACGAGCTCTCTATTTCACACTGTGAAAGATCCCAGTATTGGATGTGCAGTCATCACCCTGTTTACCCCGGTAAGCCTGGTTATGGATACCTCCTTCTGTTAGCCAAACACCCGTACAGTAATCCATCTCAGCTTTGTCCTTCTAGAACCCCTGAGCTTATAAAATGGGAGTTTCCTCCCTGCTTAGATAATTAGTTATATGAGCCCTGAACCCCCTCAGTGCCTGCTGGCATTTCAGCTCACTCAAGGCTGTAGGGTTTCACTGCAAACCAGCTTTCCAAGGTTACCCTTGGGTGGCCTCTTGTGGGTGTCACTTGTTACAACACCCTGCCGAAATTCCTTCCACACACTTCCACGCTTGAAAACAGGCCCTCTAGTCTTAAACACATACAGAAGAGCCAGTCAAGCACTATAAATAAATGAAACCTAAACCTCAAACTGTAATCTCAAAGATGAAGAAACCTGGTGCAGTCTGCCTGATGCCTCCTTGTTTGTATTCATCGGTTGTCCAGGCACCTGAACGTAAACCGTATTGAAGGTTATGCTGTAATAATAATAATAATAATTGCTCTCACTTATATAGCGCTTTTCTGGACACTCCACTCAAAGCGCTTTACAGGTAATGGGGACTCCCCTCCACCACCACCACCAATGTACTCCTCACTCTTGCGTGTGGAATAGCAGCTATTGGTAGGGAGACGTTCACCCAACAGCTTCTGCTTCTGGAATTGTGGTGCAGTTACTCATTCTGTTCCTTTCACATAACGAGACCTGTTATTGCCTTTCGGCACTACTGGGAGAACAAAGTGAACTGCAGTTACAGTATAGGCAGAGGTTACAGGCCACCTAAAAAAAATACATCTGTTGCCAGAAAAGGAGCCTACTGTTTGTTTTTAATATAAAAGAACTATACATATCAGTTTTGGACAGAGAAGATTTAGGAGGGGTATTGATACAAGTATCCCATATCCTCAAGAGCACCAAGTCAACCCAGATAACTTCTGCAGAAAACCTAACCAGAGGGCACCAATGAAACTGTCAAAGTTCCTTGAGAACCGAGAACAGGTGCCTCTTCGTTACCCAAGGTTCCTGAGAGACTGAGACAGGCTGCCCAGCTACATTATGGACAACATCACCTTCCTCAATCAGCTAGTAGCAAGCAAACAAGCATGATGGGGTGAATGACCTCATGTTGTTGTGACTTTTCTTCTGTTCTTACTGGATTCAGGAATGCATACTGTACATGTCGGGATGCCCATGTTCAAGACCTATTTCTTCCAGACTTTTTTTTTTCCCCGTTGCCAAAATTTCGTACTTTTCACTGCGGTCCAGGGAGTCATTAGACTCCCGTTCCCCGACTACCCTGAGCTGGACGCAGGGGTTCGAAAAAGGGTGGAGGGGTTTCTTGTGTCACGAGTAAGAGGAAGAAAAACCTGAAGCTGCTGATCTAAAACTGCTGTTGAAATTCCATCATCTCTTCATGTCAGCCATGAAGTTCTATTAATGATGACATGAAGGGGCAGTGCCAGGGAATTCAGATAGTGCCCCTCAGACACCTATTGCACAACGTAAGAAAGAGGAGTGGCAGCTCTGTGATGCTACAAGCTTTCCTGAGAGTTTACAGGACAGTACTAGCTCAAGCTGAATTCCTCAGTTCCTCCGCTTCACTTCTGTGGATCTTTTCTTTCTCTCCAGCTAATGATGGTGCTTTGTGCAACGGAAAATATCTTTGAGTTAATCTGTCATGGCCATATATCTGCAGATGAACAGGGAGAACGTGTTATTTTAATCCTGAACATAAGGTTACAGGCAATTGGAAAGGACAAATAAATTAATCCTATTTAAAGCATCAGTTTTGTTTCAGTTATTAAAATATTATTTGCACCTCCTAATTGTCTTATGTACTCCAAATGTATTTTTCCACTACTGGACAGATATGCAAGAAGATCACAGAGAATATGTTAAAAGGATTTTATTTTACACAGTGCTGTATTATGTCAATATACTGTTAGTAGCTATTACCAGCACAGATCAATCTGAACGTACAAATAACTCCATGATAAAATAACGAAATTACCAGTCAAGACAGTTTTTACAAAATATACTGTTTGTATAATATATTTGTTCGTATAACAAAGTATACTGTGCGTAAATAATATGTTTTTGCGAAATTACAAAATTACAAGTACTGTTTGATTGAAAGAGGGTGGATTTTTTCTCCGTTTACGTCTAATATGTCTAGTTCACAATCTGTCAAATGACTAGAATTAAAAAGCAGCCATGCTGAGCTTCTAAAGCTACAGTAGATGTTCACCCGTCATCAGAACGACGCTGTACCCTGGGTCTGCCCTCCTCTCGGACGAGACACCTGTGCGTAGTGAGTCAATCAAGAACAGCCAATCAGACCTCACCAGCAGGAGGGGGTGGAGCAACCAGACTCCATAGGAAACACAAACCGCAGCGTGCCGCCCATGACTAGGCGTACTCCACCTGCAGCTGTGAACACGCTGAAATGTAAAGAAAATGTATGACTCATCGCCACTTTCCACAGAGTTATTTATCTAAATTGCAGGGCCAATTTAGAGCAAACTGACTTGGGAAAAAAAAAATAACGCGCAACTCTTTTTGTTTTGTTTCAAAATAACATCCAGCGAACACTCCAAATCGCTGCTGTATTTGTCTTTTAACCTACACACATTGTCTCTCAGTAGATTTCTGCCTTTTAATATGTTTTACATGTTAAATAATAGTAACCGATCAATCTGTTAATGTTAGTTATTTTTTTAATTAGCCTTAGTGCACCCTAAAAATGTGGCATTTCTCTACTTCAGGCCATTTTACATCATTCTAAAAATACTATCCTAATTTATTTAACCACCACGCAGAAATAGAACATTGTTTTAGTAAAAGAAATAAAGAGCACTGACGAGGTTTATATACTAGGAGGAATTTAGTTTTATTCCCCAACCATCATTGTACAGTTCCTATCTTCTCTTTTGAAGCTTAATCCAAATTCCCTTCTCCGGACGAAGGATGAGCTCTCCCAGAAGTTGCAGTTCCTCTCGTTTCTGGGAGGACTCGATCTGGAAACGGCGTAGCACTGCAGAGAGGACAACCTTCTCCTCCATCAAGGCAAAGCGCTGACCTGGGCCCGGGGCCCACCCCGGGTTTTTTTTTTTTTCCTGCTTCTTGATTTTTTTGTTTCTACAATTTGAGAGATCCAGTAGGATGCAGTTTTTCCAAATGGCAGTGAAAATCGCCACAGGAAATCATCAAGATATCCACAGGACCTTGATAAGAACAACAGCCAGGTACTTACATGGGCAAAGTGTAATTATAAAGAGGGGAACAGTAGAGTTTCTGGTGATATTAATGGCTTTAATATATCTACATATGATAACTATAAATTATAAAGGGTTGAATTAGTCAGTCTTTTATGTGTAATAAATGTATTCAGCGTCTTCTTGTTCATACTTTGGTAATAGATTAAATATCAAAGTCTGACAATGTTCTGATTGGTTGCTATAGATAAACAAACATACCGTTTAAAAATAAATCAGGATTTCAAATGTTTTTCTGAGTTGCAGTGATCTTAATAAAGTTGTAGGATAAACAAAGTGGCTCCATTCTTCTGGAAGGGAACTTCAAAGACTAAGCAAACACATGGTCAAGAGATCATGTTTAATTTCTTCTGACTAACTTCTGAATTAAGCTCCTGGGTGTTAAACAGACCAATCTGTCGATAACAATTTATTGTTTTAAATGCATTGTGTTCAACTTTTTTAATCCCTAGGGCTCGTGTTTTGTTTCTCCGGCTGAGGGAGAAGCTTCCTGTAGCCATTAAGTGTCTTAAACTAGTGTAACGTGACATTCGATCACTCCTCCATGAAGACCCTCCTCAGCTCCTCCCAGCTGGGCCATTTACACTTGTGATCCTCAGCTCTTTTAGAGGCTGTGATGACCGACCCAGAAATCAAGATTATATTTTTTTAATTTTGTGGTGATTGAAATCGATGCAGATTTTGTATTATCATGTATTACACCAAGGCACCAGTTTATGACGATCATTTCTTGTTAACTCTAGAATCTGTCTTTTCCTCTGTTATAATTAGGCCACCATGACCAGAGGATACAAACCAACCCTGAAGCAGAAAAAAACAGTTTCTGCTCTTCATATCCTTTCTCAAAATGAGCTGCGGCTGTCTGTGTTAAGCACACTCCTGGTGAGGCTGTCGCACAGCATGAAAAACTCTATTTGTGCTTCATGTAATCACATCATGTGGTCCTATTGGACGTGGGAGTCAATAAGTTATTATTAAGCTAATTCATCATTCCTTTTCCTGTTCCCCAGGGAACTCTGCCACTGTCGCCAGATTCCTGAAATCAATCTCGAATGATAATCACGGAGGCCCTGCATCATGAAGATGCCAGTGTTTTCGAGTTTCTCAGTTGTAGTTGTTTTCGAGTCGAGCTCCCAGACCTGACGGACTGCTCATCACTTTCCTAAGTCCTCCTCCTCGTAGGATATCAACCATCCTATTAGTAATGGACACTGAGTAATTGACTTCACAGTTGAATTAGGATACCTGACATATTTTGTGAAACCATTCCTAGATTTCTTGAGATTGGTCACTTTTTACCTTACATGTTCAGACGACTCCCTGACTTTCCCCTTGCTGAGCAGAACCATGTTAGCATAACTAGGCTATAGCCTATAGTCTGCCTTTCCTTGTAGCCTTAAATAACCAAATGTCTTACTGTGCATGTGATTTTTAAATTAGGGCACGTACAGAAAGTATCCGACAGATCATGAGATGGCCCTTAATCATTGTGACAAGAGCTGTGGTCAGCAGCAACACATCAACAGAGGCAATAGACAACAAGATACCCAAACAGCAGGAGAACGGCTTTCAAAAACAGGTACACATTATTCCTTAGGGACATTTGTACATACCGATGCAGTTCCTCAGTCCTGCAGAGAATGGGATAAATGCATAGGGATGCCTGTTGGAAGAATTCTCCGGGAGAAACCTCTCTGGGTGGAATTCTTCAGGATCTGGGAAGTAGCGAGGGTCACGGTGGAGAGAAAATGGGATGATCACAGCATTGGCTCCTTTGGGCACTTTAAAGCCATCTGTGCAGAACAGAAATTCAAGTTACAAAATAAAAGGGAAACGATCGAATCAGCACCTCACAACACACAGAAAGCAACAGCTAAGAATGTTGCTACTGTACCTGGAATTGCTTCATTTATGAAACACTGGCTTTTCGAATTCACATAAGGATAGCACTGCACATCCTTAATGCAGAAATTGACAAGACTTTGCAGTTTCCAAATTAAATTGCTTTAGTTTTAATCTGTATCCTTACACTAGTGGATGTAATGTAAATGTGTTGTTGACCTGCAAAATGAAGAACATCTCAAAGGCCGGTTCAGTCAGTAAGCCTTGTGAACTTCACATTGCAAAATTATTTCAAACATTTTCAACTCAAATATGCATTTAACAATAAACTGACTCCGTCTGACTGTATTGCATATCACCTTGCTTTTTTCCTTTGTTCCCTTTTACTTAACTGTTTTGATCACTTTTAGCTGCCCTGATCTACAAGGACTGTGCAAAATCGAGAACATTGTTCAAATGAAAGACCCCCCTGTGAAGCACAGAAAACGGTCTTCATGTGACCTTTGTGACATTAAAAAATCCCCCCCTTCTTCCTTTACTGCGGCAGCAGCCCAGTTTCTGTGCAGGAGGTTATACGACGGCCTGTGGAAATACAGTACCGCCGCCAGATCGCAGTGCTGGTACCTACTGATGTGACAGTCTTCACAAATGCTGCGGGCGAAGAAAGGAACAGAGGGGAACAAGCGCAGGGACTCCTTTATGGCACACTCAAGGTACCGCAGCTTCTTCAGGTCATCTGCTGTGACGTGGCGGTCAGAGGCTCCTAAGGCAAGCGCGTCGCGAGAGAACACAGAGAAATATAATGAGCTGCACCCTCACAAGGGCCTTAAAACGATCTCTCCGTGGGGCGATCACGGGCTCAGACGCCGGCAACGCACCAAAAACCTCATCCAGCTCCTCCTGGACCTTCCTCTGCTCCTCTGGATGACAGCCCAGCAAGTACAGGACCCAGTTCATCGCAGCTGCTGTTGTGTCGTGACCCTGAGGCCAGAGGAGAGTGATGGTGCTAAAAGACGTCTCATACACATGCAGAATGACTCGTGGCAGAGAGGTTAAGACAAAAGTGGCTGCTTCATTTGACTTCGATGTTTTTTTTTTTTTAGAACAAATACAATATATCCAGCAACCGACCGAGTGGTGATATTCACGACTCCAAGAAACTTAGGGGTAGATTAACCATGCAAGAGCTCGCTATTACCAGCACATTTGTAACCCTGGCAACTAACATTACAGCACATGTAGTGAGCTTTGTGCCTCTTACAGCCGTGGGCTAATAAACGATTGCCTTCACAATATTCTTATTCAGCCATATTCTTGACCCTTTACTGAAGAACATGTTCACATTTGAAAAATAACAAAGCCTCTACAGTATAACACTTCGAAGATGTATAAGAATGAAACAAGGGACAAGTGCAGATTTTAATTTTAGTCTCTTTTTACATATCATAAAAATATAGCAGAATTTACCGAACAAAAATGTACAGAGCTCTGTATACTGACTAGTTTGTATTAAAACAAAGGAAAAATAGAATTGAAACTTAAATATAGTTGTTTTTAATAGCATTGACTTTTAATGAAATGTGTTACTGCTTTTTTTCTTTATTTTGCTGTAACAGGATGGATCAGGAAATGACTAAAAACTCAGCCTACCTACCACTAAAGGCTGTTAATTGCCTTTAATCACTTGAAAATAGTCACACTGGAGATTAATTAAGTAATAATGCTCACAACAGTGCAGTTTATATTTGGTTTTCTATAAAAAAGACTTGTATGGTGATAATGGCTGTTTTTGACCAGCAAGTCTTTGTGTGTTTCAGAGACGATTTTTCCAAAATAAAGTCTCCTTTCGCTGTACTCTTTCAAGCCAGCAGCGATGTCACCCTGCAATTCACGTCTGGCAGCCCACTGAAGCTCAGCAGGTGTGAGCCTGGTCAGTACCTGGAGGGGAGACTTCTGGGAAAAATTAAGGTTGCTGCTGGAAGAGGTGATAGTGGCGCTCACCGTGCAGTCTGTGTGGGTCCTAATGCCCCAGTATAGTAACGGGGAAACTCTACTATATAAAGGCACCATCCTTCTGATGAGATACCTGACTCTGCGGTCATTAAAAATCCCAGGATGTTTCTTGAAAAGAGTAGGGGTGTAACCCCGGTGTCCTGGCCAAATTTCCCATTGGCCCTTACCAATCATGGCCTCCTAATAATCCCCCTCTATGAATTGGCTTCATCACTCTGTTCTCCTCCCCCCTGAAAAAGCTGGTGTGTGGTGAGTGCACTGGCGCACTATGGCATCATCCAGGTGGGGCTGCACACTGGTGGTGGTGGAGGGGGTCCCCATTACCTGTAAAGCACTTTGAGTGGAGTGTCCAGAAAAGCGCTATAGAAGTGTAAGCAATTATTATTATAAACCACTGTGAATTTTAATGAGTTCAAACCCCTCGAACCACATTAATGCGTTATGTACTGTACAAGCCCAGATTACAAGTCACTGTGTTTAGGTCTGCACATTTTGTGCTTGGACATGTGCAGCAGTTACACATTCAGTATTGCTAACTGCACAAATGTTTTCGTCTGCGACTATGACTTGTTTTTAGGGGTTGGCTTCTCTCTCAGTGCTCCTCAAGATGTATAGTCGACATCACTATAGAGACTCGTGTGTGCACACTGCACCAGGATGGGATTTTGCAGCACCTCATGGTCTCTGAATCAGAGGGACACCTGCTGTAGCGAAGCTGTATTTCTATATGGCTTCTAACCTCAAACATGAAAGTGTCGACTTCCTCTTGGATATCTTCATGGCTCAGCCTCTTTCCATGCTCATCAGTGGTGCTCAGGAGCAGGTCTAGGAAAGCTCTCCTTTTCCTTCCCGATTTCTGACCTCGCTCGCTGTCAGAGGTTTTGGGTTCCTCCTCAGGGTTTTCTAAGCTGCGTGCCCTCTCTGCAATCACCTGTAGAGTGAAGAATCTAACAGTGCTGACATGCATTTACTGCAGCACTCTAATAGGTAGGTACACGTTTGCCTGCTGCTTGGCAATTTCCCCCTGGTTTAACAATGTTACCCTGCATACAATGTGCTAGGGCAACTGTGCATTTTAAAATACGTTGGAAAATAATCTATGTACACCTGTACAAAAAATTAAACATTAAATAATTGTCCACAAAAAAGCATGCACAGTACCTAGGAGGTGTGCATCACACTGTACATAGGGGCAGGTCTTGAATACATGTAAAATGAAACTGTAACATCTTATGATTATGGGTAATAATAGAGAGTGCATGCAAAGCAGTGTGATGCATGATAAACTCCCCGAATTAAGGTATTAGAAGGCTTTCACTTACACTCTTTGTGAAGGAATGTAAAATTTCCAGGTTCCTGTCATGCTCCTTTCCTTCACCAAACATGTAATAGACGAAATCTAACCATAACCATGGCATCTTCTGTCTGCGGTGAATGATGTCGCTCATCCTGCACGAACAGAGTGTCCTTGGGTTAGTTCCTGACGTGCCAAACAGATGCTGAGGCTTTAGAAAAACATGCACGCATTCTAATAATCTGCACGTGAAACACACTGTTAATACTGTCAAAATTGAATGTCAATGTTACAGTAGATTAAGGGAGCAGCTGCTCATCCTGCCCTGTTTAGCAAATAAAAAAAAAGTGACCAACCACTAAACTGGAAAAAGCGTTGTGGAAGAAAACAAAGCTTCGTTTTGACATGAGTTAACCGTGTGACGATGACTTAAATGGTTATGTGTGACATCTGCTTTTATATATCTCGATTTTTACGGCTTTCTCTTGCTTCTAGATGGAATCTGGACTCTAAACACTGCCTAATACATCTGAGCTTACCCATGAAACCAAGATACTGCTCCCACATTAACCTTGGAGCTCATCAGAAAGCATGAGCACACAACAAGAACTACCACAACTCGGAATTACAAAAAAACATTTAAAAAAGAAAATGCATCATACTGCCGCAGTGTAACGAACAGTTCTTTCCGGACCCTATGCGGACGACACAATCCGAAGAAGTGGGGGAACACTAGGGAAAGTCATGCAGGAATACGGGGCTGAAGACAGGGGGGCGTGTCCAAGGTGCGCTGGTGCACGGGGAAGGTGTGGCAGAGGCGAACAATCCCAAAGAGTAATCCTTAGAGTATCCAAAAACACACGAGAAAGTCCAAAACCAGGAGATCCATCAAACACGAAGTTAAAACCACGAAGGCCGGGTCGGAACCGGCGGACAGGGGACAAGGAACAGGAACAGGGGTTAAAACCTTAACGGGACCAGGCGCTTCCAGGTCCCGGACTCGCACGATATGGAAATCAGAGCAGAGCCCGGATGAGCGTCAGCGCCTGGCTTTTAAGGTGGGCTGGGAATGGGAATCAGGTGCACAGAATAAGGTCTTGAGTGAAAGGGCTGGAGCACCCTTAAGGAGGGGGAACTATAATCGTGACACGCAGCATTGCTTACTTATTGTACACTGTATAATATAAATCATCAAAATAAATAGACTTTTATTTTTTTGTTTGAATTTAGTTTGACAGACTAAATTTTTGAAAAACTAAAATTGTAAGACTAAAATTGAAAAACTAAAAATCTTCAGTCTTAATAGGCCATCTTAGTTTCACTACACTCAGGAAATTAAACTAATTAAGCTAGTCGTTGTGGCATGCAAGGGTAATGTCTTAGATTTTCATGTCTGTGAGCCTTCTTCAAAGCCTTCCCTCTAAATACGGGGACTTTGAAAGTAAACACAATCCCAGCTCACTAAACATACATTGATAGCTACTCTTATTTACTCAATGTGCCTGCGTGAAAAAGCCAAAGCATGAACCTGTTAACACAATTAATGTCCTCAGCACACCATTCCTGTCCGATAAACCTGAAAAATCTGATCAACTTTTATTCCATTAAGCATTAATCGCACTTACTTGTAAACACTTCGGACGTACTCAGAGTCAGAGTTACTCTGTGCACAGACTGTCTTGCCCATTGCAGTTTCTGAAAGAAACCAATATGAATTCAAAGAAACACAATGAATAGGGAGCTAGTTTTACAGTAGCTTGCACAATAGCTTTTGGCATTTTATATCAGTGAGGTTTGAAAAGAAGCAATGTGGTGAATGGACACAGCTGAATACCCAGATTGCTCAAGCAAACCCCGGTAAATAAATGGGTAATAATGTTTATGTTAAAATATTTCAAAGGGTAAACAAATAAAGGTATCTCTGACCTGTGCAGGTCAGGCTGGATAAAAGAAAAAAGCATAAATAATTTATAACTTACCACATATAATATCCAATGCACAGAGAGTGATGTGATTAAAGCAGTTAAAATATCCCTGGCCAGCATGCTTCTCCAGTTTCTTAACCAACACAACTGACTGCTCATTCATCACTTCTAGAAACTCCGTCAAGATTGAGAAGTGAAATGTTGGAGTTAACAACTTTCTCCTTGAACGCCATTTATCTCCAGTGCTATAAACAGAGTGCAGATAAACATCTACTGACAGATATGTGGATTGATACTTCGACAGAAGCATTACAGCTTTGAGAGTACTCGCACAATCTGGAATACAACTAAGAAGGGAAACACTTAAAACAATTTATATGAAAAATACTTTACTTTCTCCAAGAAAGTGCAACAGAGGACACGTTTTGTGGTTATTCTCCTGCACACTCTATGTACTCTAGTCACACATGTTAAGCTCTAAGCATTGTTTTATATTAAGTGGTAACAATTTGCTAGACAGTATCTGGATGTGCTCTTTTAAAACACGGATCAGTCTGGCTCTTCCTGCCTCTTCAGTGCTGTTGAAGTCAGATGAATCTCATCCTGCAGGTGTGCGGTACCAATGAGGTCAGATGAATCTCATCCGTGGATGTTCAGCGGTGTTCGAGGCCAGATAAATCTCATCCTGCGGGTGTGTAGTACCAATGAGGTCAGATGAATCCCATCCGTGGATGTTCAGCGGTGTTGAGGCCAGATAAATCTCATCCTGCAGGTGTTCAATGCTGTCGAGGTCAATGATGACCTCATCAATGATGACCTCAAAGATGAACAGCTACTTTGGTAGCCCTGTTGTCTTTATCCTTCCTTTCAGCAGTAAGATTCAAACTGTTCTGAGCCAAAAGCAAACACTTCATCCTTTATTGCACAGGAGAGTGGAATAACATTGTTCTTTTACTGTATCTTATTGTGCATGAGGGGAAAAGGCTTCATTATGCAACCTGCAGTGTTATATTAATTTCATTATAGGTTTTTCCTTTACCTTACTGTTTACTTTAATACTGAAAGCTTTGTTGTTCTTTGAGTCTACAGCACTTTCTCTTGATATCAGCTTTTATACTGTAGTTCACTGTCCATTATGTCAAGAGCTTAAAGAGACACTGAAAAGGAAGAATGGAGCCCAGCAGGGAGAGCAAAACTTTCTGAGACTCTCACCAGGACCAGTGGATGGGAAACAGACTCGTTGATGGAGGGAAAACAGGAACGGTGTTGCATTTTCTTTTCAGGCAGCTCTCACACTCACAAATCAGTGGCTAGTTGGGATCTATCCAGACACAGTATTACTTCAGCAAGATTATCCAGGTGACTCCAGAGAATCGACTGCCCTCGTAAACATATTGTACATTATAAACTAAAGGTGCTGGCACACGAACGACTTTCAAGTTTTTTTATCTCACTCTTTAAATATGTCTGGCACGCGTCCCTGGAAGAAGCCCCAGTCCTAAGTCATTATATAGTATATACTGTATACTGTATTCCTTTTGTGGCTTACAATGTGTGTACTGTGGGTGCCAAGGTAATAAAATAGTTTCTACATATGATAAAAACAAACATTTTACACAACTGCTCTCATTGTTACGTGCAATCACGTTTGTGTCAACTTACCTCGTTAACAAGCCTGTGCCAAGCCAGGGGTGTAAAAATTTGTAAGCATAGGCTTTATCTATGTGCCTTGAACTGCTCAGTATCATCTGGAAAGAGAAGCAGAGAAGGGACTGAAAGTAAGTACAGACACAAACTATTCCTGACTTAGAAATAAGGCTCATCAGGACAGAGGTACACTATACACCGAGGCAGGGCAAGCTATCTCTTTATCGCCCTTTGTATGTAATTAGCTGTTCATAATTTGCCCCTTGAAACATAATTATCATTATAATCTTTATCTTCATATTGCTATATCATATTTTCATCTCCTCCTAAGCATAAAAGTTCACCCTGAAAGTGGGTCATCTTTGATCTGTTTTTACCACACTTAGTGACAATTCAGTCTTCCATAATCTGGAAACTATTTAGCACATTAAAGATTTTTACAGTCTATAAATAATTATATTAGTGAAGAATAAATCCAGAAAATAAAATTACAGAAAATAAAAATTTACTGTAAGTCAAACAGCAATCAGTTCTTCTGCATAACAATTTGTAAGGAAACAGTTGTTGCAGTACCTCTATATTTTCTGCGTGGTACAGAATGACAAAAGGTATTGGCCCAATCCATAGTTTCAGCAAGGGTTCATTTCTGCGTTCAGCTGTAAATTCAATCAGCTGGCTAAAGAAATCTAAAGAACAATAAATATTGCTCGGATTTAACGGCAACTTTATAGTGAACATTTAAGCATTTCATAAACGACTTTGTTAAATAACACACTGTAAGAAATGTTACTGTACAGTATATATGAGAGGAAACCTTTCAGCTCATCTAGTCTGTTTGACTGTTAGTAACTAATTGATCCTAGAATCTCATCCAGCTGTTTTTACAGCATGGACTCATCGGCTTTAATAGCATGATCAGGCAGCTTGTTCCACACTCCCACAACTCTTTGTGTAAAGAAGTGCCTCCAGTTCAACACTTTCAACAAACAGTTTCTGCAAAAAAATGTTCAATTTTTTGAGAATTTTGAATATGTGCATATCAAGTCTTCTCCGTTGAAGAACAAGGTTCAAAGGATCAGACAGGTTTCACTGAAGCATGATGCTGTGAAAGACTGTGTTCATGATGTGATTATTAACAAGATGCATGCAGGCCCAGTGAGTCTTTTTTCCTCAGATAAAACAGAAAACTTCTTAAAATGCAGTATCTTTGTTGGGACTCTGCTTCTGTTGTGAAGTTCAGGTATAAGACTCCAAATCAAGCAATTCCCTAAACAGCTGTGGAAAAAAAGTGAACCTATTGTAATGTGACTGAAATTAAATTACGTCAGAGTTGTTTTGGAGACTGTTTGGTTGCAGTACGAGAATAGTTCAATGATAAAACAGTTTGCCAATAAAGTCTAAGAAAAAGAGACGCTAGCCTTTTAACGATCTATGCAAATTCGTCCATGACCTCAAGAAGCTAATGTAGCAAAGCAACAATGCCTGAACAATTGTTTCGTATCAACGCGATGCATTATCTGTATTATCCATTAATAAACCGGTATAATTACAGTACCCTTACCTCCTCCGTTTCTTTTTAAATGAAGTGCGTTGCCTACGATGGGGTAAGTAGGGCTAAACCCAGGAATGGGTTTCATCTGCCTCCATTTTCGCACGTAGCTGCCGAGTAACTTATAAGTTAAAAGGGCTAGGAAGAGGGTACCCACTGCGGAGCCGAGCAGCAGCCCGCTGATCTCGACTGCCATCTCCGTTCTGGTAGTGACGCCCCACGAACAGTTACAGGAACTGTTTCTGCACACGACGCAAATGTGGGAGAGGCCAGGACCGAATCTCTGGGCTTTATACAGTAACTCTTTCGTGGGTAAGGAAGCTATGCGGACATTTATCTGCGTGTTCTTTTTTTTGTGCAGAGCTACGGTACAGCTACGCTGTCATCGAATTCGTCAGCGCGCTCGGCTAAAGGGGTTTACCCTGCGCAAAGCGTGCCGCCGGCCGTATCAGCTTAGAAGCCCCGTTTTGTGTTTCTTTTCGAAACCCGATTTGTTGTGCAGGGGGGGGCACCGGTGCCCCCAACCACAAGAGCCAGAGCTGTATCCGATTGGTTACTCGCAGCCCTGCCCTGTGTGTGCTGGCTAAGTTTCCGAGCTCTCGCCTGTGCCCATGTGCGAAAGCGCACCTGAAGCGCCAGGGCGTCTGTGGGTGGATTTTGGACAGGCGCGCTGGTCGGAGCAATGATTTAGATATATATATATATTTTATTGCGCACTTTCATACCTTCTGGGTTTATTATACTGTAGCAGCCCACGTGTACCACGTTCTTAATACATGCGTCTCTTTAGTAATACGAAAACTCCTGTCGTTTACAACCAATTCCACGTTAGTTGGGATCTGGTGGGCTGCTCAATAGAATCTACCATCAGCCTTCCCTACTGGAGCTACAGTAGTTTGAATTTCTAATGTTTTACAGCATATTTTGATAGTTATTCGATCCACGTATCAAATCAGCTATCACAGACAGTGCAGAATATAATTACTGTCATTAGCACATACATTAATATTTGTGTACTTCAATGTAATTTTTGATTTACACGTTTACAGCACCGTCAGACCCCTCAAGAGACGTGTGCTGTGAATGATATTAGGCTGATATTGTCTGTAGTGGTGTTAATAAACAGCAACAAAAGTAGTACATCATCCAGGTAAACAGTGTTATGTGGATTAAATAGTGTATATTCAACAGACTTTTATTTATTATTATAATACAAAACTGCTTTTATGGCTTGTGATAAATAATACAAAACATACAAAATATTTGAACATAAGAAATGCTGATCATACATGTACAGTAATACAAAAGACATTTGGCAATTCACATGGAACTAAATTATTCTCATTTTGTAAAAACAAATGAGTGCTACCGTATAACTGTTGTTTTCCCAATAGTAGGTCATCATACTTAACAATTACACCTCACTTCATCCACTAAAGTCCCAGCTAAAACAGTCCCCAGTAATTATTACAAGAAAGGACATTACAGCATACATCAGTTTATAAACGCATAGACACTACAAAAACTTCAAAGCAGTATTCCCTTTTGGGCAGTTCTGTTTCTTCACTGAGGAAAAGAAAGCGAATCTCAGAGATTTCACCAGGTCATTGTAAATCTAACCATTTCAGGAGAGTGAATCAACTTATTTACCTCAGTACTCCAGTTTGATAAAAGTGCTTCAGGCTCAAGTTTGGTTGGGAATTTGGGACAACTGCTGGTTTCCTGAAACACAACCCCGTGTGATCCTGCACAGCACTGGCTGGATGGGAAATTTCACCAATTTCACCAAAAAAACGTGCAAGATTAAGAATTTGAGTAATCGATGATAACAGAGTATAAAGATGTCTTGAGCTTCAACATTTAAAAAAATTGCTAAATTTAAACTGACAAGATAAGCTGATAGATTAGTGTGGCTCTGCCATACTGCTTCAGGTCCAATCAAAGATGGGTTTTACATTAAGGAACCCTGACGCCATGCTGCAGGTGTCTAGGTTTTGTTTGGATTGGCTTACACAGCAAAAGTATTTAAAGAGGCCAAACTTATGTGGAATGATCCTGGTGCTCCAGATTCACTAGCCTGATCAGACACCCACCACTCATTGTGTAAAGCAAAACGTACAGTATGTCCAGTCCCACACACTTCTCCTTTCGAAAGGCCTCTGTCCTTGTTCCCTTGTGTATTACTGAGCACACTGTAAAAAAAAATCAATCAGGTGCCCCAGTACCTAAATTCACGAGGAATGACGGCAGCCGAAAGCTTGGGAGAAATTAGAATAATTTATTGAGATGTGGAGATTTGGCGTAACCCGCTTGGCTGAGGGCCAACCTCCGGGCCGTTGGACGGGGAGGATAGGACCCCCATGCGACCAATGGGGCAGCTGCAAAGGTGGAGAGGGGGTGGAGGAGGGATGCAGAAAACGAAAGAGGAAGAGGAGAGGGTGAAGTTTGATATATATGGAGACCGGTTGCTTACGTCAGGATTAGTGAGAACTGTGGCAGCTGTGTCGAATAAGCTCGGCTGCTTTAATTCCTCCCGAACTTTCATTAAAAAACTCCATCAAAAAGTGGTCTGGTTGAACTGCACTCTTGTTCATTTTCTCACACTTTTGCTCTCAACCAACTAGACAAACCCTTATCCGTTGTTGTGCTACTAATTAGGCAGATTTTATGCTAAGCAGCCCTTCCAATTAATAAAAACTCTCAAGGAACAAATATCTGAGCTGATGTGAATCATAATACTGGTACAAACTCCCAGTACGTTTATCAAAAGTATAAATCAGACAGATAGACTTTTGTCTCTCTGTAAATACACAAACTATTCACAAAGAAAATCTGTAATCCATAACTAAACCACCGCATGCTGATCACGTTTATATTAAATACACAGTGTTTGTGACTGACTCTCATTCTGCCAAAGGAATCATATCATATCAGGAAATCCTGTAGTGAATACAGGATGTGGCATTCACAGGTTCCAAACATCAGGTTTCTACTTAACTCTGTAATTTTTTTTTTTACCCAGCTGCACATTAACTATGAGGTAAATCTGATTGCTTGCATAGTTTGCACCCGATCAAACAGTATAAGACAAATTGATTTATCAAATACACACTGCTCTTAACAAAACATTAGCGAATGGTAGGTCCCATAGCAGTGACCCAGTCTGTTCGAAGGGCTGCGCTGGACAGTACGCCCTGTGACTGGGCCTCCTCTCAGCGTGCTGGGGAGGTAAAGACAGCAGAGGCACTGTGAGTGAGGCCCCAGGAGGCACAATGACTGGTGCTTGTGCGTCCGGAGCAGGCCTGGTGACCACAGCTGATCTGACTAACGTGTGATTCCAGGCATTAATAATAATTATTATTATAATTAATTAATTGCTTACACTTATATAGCGCTTTTCTGGACACTCCACTCAAAGCGCTTTACCAGGTAATGGGGATCCCCTCCACCACCAGGTGGATGAATCGTGGTGAATCCTTGTTCTCAAGGATTTGCAGGCAGTGTCCATCAGAGAAAAAAAAAAACAACCAACAGGAAGGGGTCATATTTGGAACGACATTTTTCCAGACCTTCTGACACGGCTGTAACCGAAAAGTGTGTCATGTTTCCTTAGTCCTGCCTTGCAATCACCAGTGCGGCCTGCTGTGTAAGTGAATGGCAGCACACCTGAGGGGTTTCCCTACAATGATCCGGTGCTTCTCAAGACCCTGTGCTCCGGAATAGTGTTCATTTTGCTTACTGTGTCCTAAAATGAATATTTCTTATGAGGATCCCATCTGGAATTTCTTTCTGCCAGTCGCTGGTTTCCTACTGAAAGCTCTAGGCTGAAGATGAGGACCTGGAGGGGGAAAAAAAAGTATCACTACGGTAAAAATATACAGTTCTGTTGCCATCATAACTTGAGGTTTTTTTTCTAATGTTGTAATTATAACGGATCTGGAGGACTGCTTCTCTGCTTTGAAACCGTAGTCCCCAGTGAAAACGTTTTAGCATGCTTTGTGCTGCCGTGAATCTTTTAAGGATTTTAAAGACATGTCAGACCCCAAACCATGAGTGACACAATAGACTTGAAAAACACAACAAGGTGATCCGATTACAGTTACCACACTACTTTATAGCAGTTGTGTAAGACACTGTTGAGGAAGGCCTCATCTGTACATATTGTGTACAGATTTGGTCACTGTTATAGAGAAGATGTTGCTGCTGTGGAATCAGTTCAGAGAAGAGCCACCAGATGTGTTCTGGGACTTTCAGAGAATGCCCGACGCTGGTGGGCCGAAAGAACTGAATCTCTTGAGTCTCGGACACTTGGGATGGCAAGGGCACCTGATACAAGCATTCACAATCCTCAGAGGCAGGGACAAAGTTAACCCAGTGGATTTCCTCAGAATGAGCAGTGTGACGTGAAGCACAGGACACAGGTGGAAACGCCATGGAAGTGTATTTAAAACCAAGAACAGGAGGGCTCCTCTTCTCCCTCGTTCTTTACCCAGAGGGTCGTGGGAGTCTGGAACAAGCTGCTCAGTCATGTAAGTGAAGCCCTGACCCTGGGATGCTCACATCAATTACTTACTAATTGGCGAACTGGTTACAGGGGCTGAAGGGCCTCCTCTTGCTTGTACCTGTTCTTTAGTTCCTATTTACTGAACAGCAGGCCTGAAGCATGTGACACTGTGGTCAATACATGTGTAAACTAGGTCCCTAGCAATGCAATAAACATTATTTAATTTCGATAATGGAACGACCTACAGTATAAGGTGAAAGCTGGAAACGAATACTGTGCCGCATGAACATTTAAGACATTTCACATTTTGCTATGGGGTTGCAATTCTACTAAAGATCAATCCTTTTATTAATGGCATTGAACATTACTACTTGTGTTGGGCTCCTATTGCATATTTTACAGCATTAGATAAGAGGGTCTGCATGCAGGGGTGGATGTTTCAGAGGGTAATGACCCTAAACTACTTTGCCTGTTCCCAGCAAAGTCCATGTGGCCAGCAAGCCTGTACTGTACAATACAAAGTTAAAACCCTCAACAGGGTTTCTGTTCCATCGACAGGGGAGTGTGAAAAGCTCTAAATGACTCAACAAGCAAGGTCTGCACAGTGGCACAGTCAGACATAATTCAAGCAGCAGAATAAGGCAGTCCATCAGCTGGTGTAACTAACCAATACTGATAAATTTCATAATAAAGCCTGTAAGAGAGTCACAGGCCCTGCATTTGTTTTGGTAACTGTAACTTTCAATGCACATCACAGCTTTTACAAGGACTCTTAGAAGGCTATTTTTATGATTTCTATATTGATGTTTTTTTTTATTTGCTGTTTTTGGACAGCGAGAACGTTTTTTATGGACAGTCCCTACAGAGCTACAATTCAACAAATTTACCATTTAAAATGTGGCCACGACCCTTCGCGCGGAATGGTTTCGGTCCAGCCTTACCGATGAAGTCACAGGTGACAGTGACGCAGTTTGTTTTTCGCCCACCTTGCATCAGAAAGCGGCAGGTTACTGAAGCTGCAGCAGGTTTGGCTCTGCGGGTCTTGGACGAGGCTGTTTGTCTACGCAGGGAGCGACCCCTGTGATAGGAGCGCGGAGATTGTAATTACCCCAGGGCGGCTGGCACTCCCCTGCCGCTCCCCCGCCGGGGGGGTGGCTGCAGGGCCCCTTGTGGGGGGCGGCGCAGTCGGAGAGGCTGCTCGCCGTGGAGCAGGAGATGCCCACGCTGACCCCAGTCACGCCGATGCGGGAGCCCCCTCCTGCCGGTTCACAAGCAGGGCCGGCGGGGGGCACATACAGGAAGAAGCAGAGGACAGCGGCTTAGAAAACGTCCCCAGAGCTACAGCATACACAGCATGTTATCGCATTTTATACTGTACACAGGGGTCGAGGGCAGTCCTCCGCCGTGGATCTGTGAAGGTCCCTGACTCTGATGCTTGATGTGTCCGTCATGCTAAGTGTGTGGAGGCGACGTCTTGCAACACACCTTTCATTTGGACCGTAGTCCAAAACAAAAAACAAAAAACGCGATCGCTCTAAGAAACGACCTTCGACCATGACCCTTAATCGGCTGATTGAGTCGTGAATCGTGGGAAGCACACCGCGGGCGGCCGCCCTTTGGTCGTGTGGAGGAGGATGTTTTGCCCTTTTTCTGGTGAAGGGGTGTGGGTTGGGGGGAGTGTGAACTCACACTAGGAAACTTTGACCTTTTAATTCCCGTTAAGATGTCAGATAGGAGAAGCGAGGCAGTCGCCCGCAGGAAAATCATCTCAAAGGGAGAAATATATGAAAGGTTTATAAACAAAATTTAAGGTTAAACAGGTTACACTGAAGATTACACTGCTGTTTATAACTGTGTTAATGTATAGTCTCACACTGGTGTTTTTACAATGCAAAGTCCTGTGCTTTCAGAGTATGTCAGAGCTGCAAAAGATACTGTCCCGAAGGGATGTACAAATTTTGATCAAGACTGATTTCCTGATCACACAGTTTGGCAAATTTATGACAGGTACCGCTTATCCCAGGCGATGGCAAAGAGACCACTATAAACACAGCCGCAAACTTTGGGCACCCCTCTTGGAAAGTTCACTGTTCACTGTGCAATCTGTAAAATTCATATTCAGTTTCTGATTTTAATACAGTCACTCCATAAAGGAGACTGATACCAATTGTACCCTAAACAACTTAAACATTTTTTAATTCTAAATGAAGAATACTTTGCTTTTCATATCTAAGAGATTTATATACTTTACATCTATTGACAGAAATGTACAAATTCCAAAAGGGGTAAGGCGAGGTCAATTATAAAGCAATCTGAGAAGACTCACTCCAAATTGCTTCTTTTTTTCAGACCTACTAAATGATCATCTCTACAGTTCACAGCCGATAGGGAATGTGAATTTAACTGTTACCTGCAAAAGGTCCTCTTCCAATCCGAGTTTGACAAACAAAATCCACAGGAGTAAACAGTCTTTTAAAGGATGCATCTGACTGTAAGGGAAAGAGAGACGTTTGTTTTTATGATGATATGGTTTATTCACCATTACATCGTGTACACAGTGCTTGACATAACACATGCTGTATGCCAGAAAACAGAAAGACCCTAAAATAAATAGTTCTGTTCATCTGGCCCAGTACTGTACTAGCTATCAGCTCTAAGATGCTTTTCTCTCTCTAAGGCAAACTTCAAACTTCAAACTTTTGTTTTTGCCAGGGTCTATGTCAGATTGCCATGCATTCCATCTATATAACCCTCTATGCTCTTGTATATTTTTATTTTGTACATTTGTTCTTTTTCGTTATCACTGTGCACAGCATCCTTGGGTTTGGAAAGGCACTTTCTCATTAAACGTTATTGTTAATGCAATCAATTTGACTTAACAAAATCGACCGATATTGACTCAGTAAAAGGGAAGTCTCATTAAAAGAACATGTTTGTCTGCAGTGCAGACTGGAAGTGCCTACCCTGAATGTGTAGCTCGTTCTGGGTCTGGAGAGAGGTTCGAGAGGCAGGGCCTGCCCCCTGGGAGCACGAGGGCCTGAGTCTCCCTGCACTGCGCTGGACACTCTGCTGGACAAGTCCCTCCCTCTCCTCTAGAGTGGACAAGACGAGATTAGCGCTCCAGCTGGAGCAGGAACAGGTAACAGTATCTGCAGGATTACTCTTAATCTCGTGCCAGTATAGGAAAGCTTTGTTTTACACACAGCCACGTGTTCATACACTGTACAGCACTGTGCATACAGTATCTACAGTACATACACACACATTTATTAGTCCAACCTGCAGGTGTCTGGAAGCAGGCACTGAAGGACTCTGCTCTGGCACTTCGGAATGAATGGGTGGAAATTTCCTGTTCCGCCTGGCACATTCGGGTGACAAGGACAACCCCTCCGGGAGGGCGCACCTGGAACGGTGAGGTCGAACACTTATTAGTCGTGTCACGGGCGGTTTCTGGAGCAGCCCAAGACGTGCACTAAGCAACATTCTGGGAAGAAGTGAAAAGGGTGCGAGGACTGCGAGGTGTTTGTTGAGGAACCTGCTTACAGCTTAGTGCCCTTGAGGACCGCGCTTCTGCGGAAGCCCACCGAGTCTGGCGGGGGTCTAGGCAGCCTGCGCTGGGCTGCCGGCCCCCGCGAGCCCACGCACGGCGCTCTGGAGGGGGAGGGGACGGCGTGCCCGGTCTCTGCTGCCTGGCCCGTGCCGGCTGGGTCACGGTGCTCACACCTGCCGAGACGCACAGGTCGCGAGGGGCCTTGCTGCTTGATAAAGATCGATTCCTTTGACCTTCTCCGACAGCATAATTCCTCTGCCGCCATCATTGTCTCGTTTCTGTATAGCAGTGCGAGAGTATGCAGCCACATTACTATGATTATCACTGTCATTTATTACACTTTTGCAATCATTTTTATTTTTTTAGTTGTAACTCTGTAACGCTGGGATGCTACTCGCTGAAGAGTGGAATTGACACGGTCTTTATAATTTAATTGCAAGAATCTTTACTACAGTATTTTACTGAATTTCCAGTTTTGCCTCAGAGCCTGTACAGTCAGACAGATTAGCTACCGGAAGGGGTATTGATTTAAGTTCCTGTTAATTGAGGAAGGAAGTGGCAGTGGGTGAGGTATTTTATTTTTATACATACTATAATTTTGTCTAGTTTTACTTTTTGGATTTAGCACCAAACTACCTTTTGGAAGAGCCACCAACAATGGAAATGTTTTTCTACTGTAAAATCTTCATACTCTAAAAGGATCATACTGTTAGATTGTTATTTTCTAGTGACCCAACTTACTGTGTCTTCTCCCCCAATCCAGGGTGCCTGTGTTGGAGAGGTTTGGCTTGAATGGTCATAACTCCATTCAAATTCCTTTTTAAGGCACTTGGGATGCGAGGGGCCTATTAGAGCAGAAACAGAGCAAAGATGAAAGAGGTCTCTTCAAAATAAAAGAGTGATATTGATGTTAAAGGCTGGTGAGATTGCTGCAAAGCAGGCGTTTTTTTAGATCAGCTGCGCCAAAGAATAAGCTAAAAGACTCTTATATTTATTGTTTCAGTTGTTTAGCTATTTCTTTAGGTTCTTCTTTTTAAGAATCCTTACCTGCGTTGAGCAGGTGTGCATACTCCTTGTCTCCGAGCCCCTGGAGGGAGAAACACTGAAAGCCTTCACCGGAGTGCGGAACACAGACTCGGAGAAGTCTCTGTCACAGTGCTGCAAGCCGGCTGTCTCCATGACCTTCCCTGCAAGGGCTGGACAGTGGAAATGAGGAGAGGGTAGAAAAGCCGTAACCATACAGGTTATTGACACCTGAACAGGATGGCATGGAGGTCCCATAAATTAAGATGAACATAATCCCAAAACGAACTAAATGGCAATTGTGTATTTCAGCATTTGTTTTTTAAAAAAAAGAAACTCGGTAGTTGCAAATTATGATCAACACTGGTGACCTTTTAAAATGTTAAACAGAAGTTCTTTTAATAAATCAGTCAGGGCTTCTCCAGTTTCCTTCAGTAAAATCCTGCATTGCAGAATTCACTCTTCATTTTCAAAAGGTACTGTAAGTACAAAAAATGTTTAAACATTAAAAGCTCTAAGTGGGAACAAGCATGATATATGAATGCAGATTTACTAAAAATATTTTTTGTTTCAGTTCCTGTAAACCACTAGCAAAAATGGGGACAAAGCATTCAGTGGAGTAATACTGACTATTTTGAAAGTCAGACTGGATCTTTTGCCCATGTTTACTTGAACTTAATTTGCACTGATGAGCCTCAGATGTGTATCAATATATTCATACAGGTTGGACATGGAAGTAGATTAATCCGAAACTGGATGTTCTTGTAAAGAATGCCTTCCTATTATTGTATTACACATATTTCTTAACTTGTCCTCTTCCTTCTGTATTACTGTATACATAATTTATCAGACATACAGGAAACTACAACCTAAAATTCCATTAATCATTCTTTAAGCTGTAAATCTATGTCCAGATAAATACCTGTGAGATCACTCTCCCAATGTTTCTGTATGAGCTCCATTACAAAGTGCACAACATCTTTCCAGACTTCATCAAACAGCTCTCCAATCACTCCATCCTTAATGCAAGCATGGGGAGAAACTGGAGGGACACCACTGTTAATCTTCAAAGCTTTCCTGAATTCCCAACCATCTTCTTCCCTAGAAGTAAAGAGCAATTTGATGGTATCGGGTCAAAATCTCATATGTTTCTAATGGTTCATAGCAAGATGGGAAAACAGTTCATAGTGCTGTAAATACAATAGTGACTGATATTGCAAACATATTTAGTATGATATTGTACATATATAAAGTATGTGTGTATGTGCCTGTGCATTGTGGAATGCAAAATTCATTGTAACACAATACTTGGGATAATGTGATGTAAGATGCTCCAGTGTGGTTTGACTAATAAACTTGCACAAAGCATAAGATTAGCTCTATGGTCCAGAAAGCACCAGACTAAGCTGGCCATTAGCCATTGGTCACCGGGATCCCCAAGAGCCAGGGCACAATTAGCTGGTTGGGTTAGATACATCATCGTCGGCGCCACTTCTGATTACTGCTGTACGTACGCAAACTTGCAATCCTCCAAGTGAGAGGTGGCCCACTGCACAAGTCCGCACCCACTGTTTTTTGTGACTTCATCAGGGCCGGATTTTGGTGTTCGTATTCCCTAGGCACTTTTATTCCGAAATGTGCAAAAAGAGGGGTAAACGCCAATTGAATGACGTCGACGGACATGATGCAATTTAAGCTGTTCTAATGCTAAAGCATGCGATTGGTGGAGTGAGTTGAGCGACCATCACTTCGATACTTCTAGTTTCTAGAACGGCTGCTAGATAGCGCATGATTATTGATTTGGAGCATCTAGAGTTAATCGCAAGCATGTTGTTTCAGCTTGTTTTTCGTTAGTCACTAGTGTTTCCCTCCTTCATAGGCCCCAAAAATTGCTCTAGGCCCTAGGGACTGTGCCTACAGTGCCTAATGGGAAATCCATGAGTATGAAGCTACAAACAACTATCTTACACTTCTTTCAAGTCGTAGGCGAAGAACTCCTCTATTTGTCCTTCTGCTTCATAAGTCTCTTCCTCAAGGAAGGCGTAAGGAGAAGGCTCTGAAGGACTCCGTCTGCAGCCCAGCGTACCATGTAGTGGTGAAGTAACAGGAACCAGCTTCCTCCCCACAACAGACATACTAGGGAGAAAAGACAGGAAAGAGGATTTTCTCCAGAGTGAGTGTATTTCCTAAACATATCTGAGTTACTGGAAAAAACTGGGATATAGTCATGGGATCACTTGGATCTGTAGCAGTGGGTTTGCCGCAGGACTCTTCCTGTCCACTCTAGCAAATCGGTCTCTAGTTCTGCTACAGAACAGGCACCGAGCCTTCAGCCAGCTCAGCTCAAGCAAACACTATTTTCAATACTAATTGTTAAAGATGATACTATATGAATATTTCAACATTATTTATAGGCAAGGTAATACTGATAAATATTGTATAACTTTATCTCTCACATCCTCCAAAAAAGCCAGCAGCATACACACCGTACTACATAATATTATGTCATGTGAATAACATGAAATTCGATATTTTGTAACACAACTCCAGCAACAGGACATACTGTAGAAGCAATCTGTTCACAGAACATGAAGCCTTTAAAAATATAAGGCCTCTTTGTAAATTATCATAAGCCATCGTCCTTGCAGTTCCCCGAGGAAAGGCCTGGTGGTTTTTAACCTCTCGCTGACCCCAGCACTCGCCCTGGATCTTCCTCTGACAGAACCGCTCCGCTACCTCTCCGCATACATGTAACCAGTGCATATAGAGGCGAGAAGGATGCTTAGACTGGAGGATAAAACAGTGCAGCCGAGTAAAACAATTGACTTCAATAAGGCAAGAAACACCACTTTCTCTTACTTTAAGCGATCTGTGAATAAGCATCAAATGCATTTTCAGCAACGGTAACAAAACACAGGGCCTTACTCTTTGTTTTCTGCCATGGTGTCCTGGCAAGGGTGCAAGAGTGCACTCTCGGGAATAGAAGCTCTTCTCTGAAAGAGCCGAAATCCTTCGTCTTTGGGCTCTGCTATCTGATTTCCCAATATCCTGTATGCAGCCAGCAAAAAGAGGCATGAAAGCAAGGTGTTAAAAACAAACTGGTCTTCTGTTGCATGTTTCTGAGTTACAGCACGAGACAGACTGACACTCTGCATGTTAATAAGTCCCTAGAAATAATAAATGGACTTTAGATGGACTTGGAAGTGATATCAAAGTTCTTAAAGACTGTCGAATGAAGTCAAATGAAAGTACCACAGTACTAAATACGGAACGGTTGACCAAGCTAAAAATGTCATTAACTATACACGACAGTGTCAAGAAGTTCAGTTTCGATACACACAGGATGGGGGGCCATGAGGGCCAAGATTTTGGTGTTGCGGACTTGCCCCACAGCTTGCGAGGGACCACGTTTCAAATCCCAGGCCTGACGGCACACACCACCCAAGAACGAGCGGCCACAGGAGTCCCTGAGCGGGTTCCACGGCCACCGTACCTAAGATGGGGTGAGTTTTGGTTCCACTCTCCGCACTCGGCTCGCAAGCCCCGCGTTCTGGCGTCGACCTTGCCTTCGTACAGCATCTCATCGATGTCCCAGAACAGCTGACAGACCCGCTGGGTGTTGACTCTGTCAAACTCCTGGAAGACACGAGCTCCAGTAAAAAGCCGAGCCGAGGAGAGCATCGGTGTAAACTAGGCTGTTTGAATTGTTCGCCCGCTGCACGTACATCGTCTCTCCAGGAGAAGACCGAGCTCTGTTCTGTTGAGAGTCCTGTTGCATAGCTCTGGATCCCCGACCACGAGTTATTGGGAGTCGTCGGTGTTGTCTGACCACTGGATGACTGGGACAAAGTGCGGATACTGACGGAACAAGCACAGGAGCAATTAATTGAAAGAATAGATGTCCTAGCTAATGTCTTCTCATGATATGAACAAAGTCGTTTGCATTCAAATTACCTAACATTAAGTAACTCATACTTCAGATTTTGACACTTTGTTTTTTGATATACTAGAAAGTAAAAGTTAATCTCCACTTACTCCTTCTACAGCCTACGAACTGACACAGTGGCTCACTGTAATAGATTCATCTTCAAAAACATTGTAAATTTTTATTACTAAGTAATAATAAATGCTATCATCCAATCCAATTCTGCAGCTGGCTCTTCAGTAAGAAAAAGCAGAATGTGAGACTTCACAGGTTTTACGGTTTAAGCCAAAATCTGTTTCCACCATATTGATTTCTTGCCAATTGAAATGAAGAGAGTGAGACTCTGCTGTCCCCACATAGTCTCTCTCTCTTTCGTCTCCTCATCTCCTCTTGGGGCACCGATGTGAGCTCTGTGCACTCTCACCTGTTCTGCCAGTCTAACTGATTGAATTACTGTATCATCTACCTCTAGCTTCCTGGACAGGATTAAACTACACGATCTCACAATTTCACACACACTTGACTATCCTTACTGCATGAAGACTAACGCCACCCAGGAATTAGATGCACTGGGGGATGTTGATTTGAGTGCTTATGTATAGTGAGATTTGGCTTAATTAATAGATATAATGAGATGTGGCTTAGCATCAGTCCATACGACAGGGAAGCCAGGATTCCCAAACGAATCAAACAGGACACAAAATTCATCAATTCAGAAATGGAAAGATGAGGAAACCTTATGGCCTTGGGTTGCATGGTCTGACTGGTTGTACTCCTGTGGAGGATTAGATGGAAAGTCAATTCTCATTTTAGGCAGTCAGAATTGGTTCTGATGGACAGTACACATTAATGCCACCCATGCCCGAAACAAAGCTGCTTCGTCAATCCTAAATGACTGGCCAGAGAATTGTTGTGCGGAGAATGTGGATTTTGGAGAACAATACCCTGTTTGGTGATATGGATGTCCGCAGAGCTGTCTGAATGAATGGGAATGGATATTTGTTGCCAATTGTAGCCCCAAAGAGAGCCATGGCAGTTGCGTGGAATTTGAATATGTTGAGCAATACTCAGAAGATGAGAGAGGACTGCCAGAGCGCTACGAGCCAATGAGTTTGAGAACATGATAACGGCATCCAAGGCCAGTGGGAGGGTCTGTGCCTACAATGGCTGAAGGCTTCTGGGAGACGACAGGAACTCATTATAAAAGTGGGGCCGTCCCAGTCGAGGATCTGCCATGCAGGTCAAGGTGGGGTGAGGGTCATGGGGTAACGGGAGGAGGAGACTGATCAGCCGAGGTAAGACAAGACCTGAGACGAATGCCCGACCTCGTGGGATGATTCATATTACTATTAGCATAGCTGAGGTAATTGGGCAACGACGAGTGCTTGGACGTGAACCTGGAAGGCGGAAAACGTAACCGATCATCGGTTGCCTTGACCGTGGCAACAAGCACCACCCAGGCTTTGAAAAAGGAAATCAAAGTGAGTGATGTTCCCTGGGGGGTGTGCTGGGCAAATCCTCAGGAAGATGAAGGAGAAAGAGGGGTTCAGAATTATTTAAAAGGATCCAGCAGAGTGCTTCAACTAGGGTGTTAAATGTTTTGTTTTGAGCTCCTCCTTCAGCCCAAGGTTAAGTGATCTACGTACATTTCTGCAAACCTGTTCATTTATTCCGTTGCTTGTGAGGAGTCCGCTGCAGTTCAGCTAGTCTCCGAGAACAGAAAGGGCAGCAGTGGAAGACAGGGAGGAGATGAGTCAGGAGCTGTGGCCCAGCAGCAGTAAAAAGCAGGTAAGAATAAAATTGCTGGGAACAGGGTCCAAGCATAAGATGAACGTGAAGAGAGAGGTTTATGTATGTTATATATGTAGTTGTCAAGAACTAACATCAGGAAGACTTATGATGTATAATTGCAAGGGTGAACATGAATTGGTTGTCATTATCCCTCTGAAACATTCGTTCACTCTTGACCTCTTTACACTGCATGTTTTTCTACACTTAAAACTAAACATTTTTATGCAGCATTTTTATTACCACCACATCTTAAGAGATTTGCCAAAGTAGGCGTGAATACCTGTGGTAACTCTCGATGGCTCCAACGACACTCTTGGTGATGTGAACGGGGAGACAGCTAATGTTCTTCTCAGGATAACTTGGCCCAGGAATTTCCTTTGATAGTTTTTTTCTGAAATAAGAATACAAATAGCAGAGACACAAGATTTGTTAGACTAGTTTTTTTTTCAGATTTAATTCTCAATGTTAAGAGGTGTAGTGATTCCAGTGTTCCATCAGGTACAAGCAGCCTCAGCATTCATTTCAGATAGACTATCGTACAAGCCTCAGTGTTTGATCAGGATAGGCCATCGTTACGAGGCTCAGCATTCATTTGGGATAAGCCATAGTACAAGCCTCAGAGTTCAGTCAGAACAGACTATCGGACAAGCCTCAGCATTCAGGCGGGATAACTCATAGTACAAGTCTCAGCAATAGGTCAGGATAGTCCACCTATCAAATCTCAGTGTTCAAACCTCAGGATAGGCTATCCTACGTGCCTCAGCTTTTAATCAGGATAGGCTATCGTATGTGCCTGCCTCATTATTCAGTTGGGATAGGCTATTGTACAAACCTCACCATTAGGTCAGGTTAGTCCACCTTTCAAGCCTCAGTATTCGATAGGGATAGGCTATCATACGAGTCTCAGCTTTCGATCAGGATAGGCTATTGTACAAGCCTCAGCACTGAAATAGGTTGGGTTGAAATGTCATACGAGCCTAATGACGCCATTTTAACCATGTAAATTTCCACCTTAATTCAACTGGTGATGTGGGACCCTTCCTATATGCAGTATAAAGGACTGTGGAATAATTTGTGGTGAAATGTGCTATATAAATGCAAGGAATTTGTGTTGTAGCAAACAGGCATACAAATATACTGGTATTGAATTCTTCAAAAACTGCTCCAGGGGCGCCGTACAATGGCAGACCCTGCGCTCTGACCCCAAGCTTCTCTCCCTGTCTGTGTGTCTGTGTCTCCATGGAGAAAAGCTGGGGTATGCGAAAAGACGAATTCCTAATGCAGGAAATTGTATATGGCTAATAAAGAAACATTATTATTATTATTATTATTATTATTATTATTATTATTATTATTATTATTATTAACCTGATTCAAATACCTCACATGAGAAGGTTGCACTTTCAGTTGTTTTATTGTACCTTTTTTATCTAATCTTTTTTTTCGCTACACTTGCATGCAATGTACTGTAGTCTTTGTTTACCCGTCGCATGAATGGCACACCCATCCATCTCCTAACCACTTCTATCCACATACAGGGTTGCTGGGGAGCCAGAGCTTATCCCAGCAAGAATGGGTGCAAGGCAGGATACACCCTGGACAGGACACCAGTCCCTCTAAGGGCACAAGGCAGGATACACCCTGGACAGGACGCCAGTCCACAACAGAGCACAAACACACGCTCACTCACAACCATTAAAAACCTCTTTCTTAAAATCATGGACCTTATGTGTGGAGCTGCAGTATATATAAATATTTGTCTAAAGACTGCTCATTGTACAGTGTTTAATATACCTAACCTATTCTGAAATACGAACTACTGCACTTCAGAAAATGCTGTTAGTAAAGGTTTGCAAGTGGTTGAATTCTCAGAAAGGAGCAAAGTCAACAGTGCAGCTTGGATTTCAATAGCTGGTTAACCCTGTGAAACACAGCTGTGTCTATCTTTGCTGAAAAAAGCTGCACATCAATTCAAACAGCCTATCCCACTTGTGTAGTCCTTTTCAGTTCTTCTCTTGCCATTTACACTATTCATTTACATCCAATTACATCCTACAAATTTCAAATCAATGACTGATTCTTGTGAAACATCACACTGATTCAACTACAGATTAAAAAAAGATTACACAGAAACGTGTACATATGGTGTATATGAGCATGTTGCAAGCTTTTTTACATTAATTGAAGGCATGCACTTTTGTACCTTTCCACTGCTATGTTATCCCTTGCTCTCTTGCTACATTTGTGCCTTTAACCTTTTATATTTAGTTATAGAAACCAGCAGTACATTTCACACTCGGGTAAAATGATATGAAAGCAACACACAGGTGGTATTAGGGTTTCAAAAAACCACATGCAATAGATATTATGGTCATGATTAAGATTCAGATTTTTAAAGCTGGACATTACATTCTACTAAAATTGGATAGTGAAATGTGTGTTAATACGAGTTGACTTTTTTTAGTCTCGAAAGATTCTTTCCCAAAAGTGAAAGTACCGTGAAGTTCTTACAAGGCTGAAACAAATGAAGAGGTTCAAATTGGGATGATCTCCTGTGTTGCTCTGTCAAAGTGCTTCAGACAAGGATTCTTCTTCTAGTTAAACGAAAACATTCTGTAAATCTGTATGAACACACCCTTTTTATCTCTGTTAATGTTGTTTTACAAATATCTTGTGTGACTCTGAATATTCTCGCACAATTATAGTGCTACTGGTATAGAAACACCAAAAATAACAGCAAATCCCAAACAGCAATAGTGCCTGAGGTACAGAAATTCATCTTAGGCACAACATAATAAAGACTGCAAACAATTCAGCCCATTTGCTTTGAAAGTATAAAGCTTTCTTTCTGAAAGAAGCCCGGGTATCAGGTTCAACAACATGACTGGGCAGCTTCCATATTTCTACCACTTGTGGGTAAAAAAGTGGCCCCTGCTCTCCGTTTTAAATTCTCCATCATTTCCAGCTGTGCCCTCTGGTTCTGGTGTTTCACTGTTGAATCTGGGTGGACTTCATCAGTGCCTTTGAAAACGTCAAGCAGGTCTCCTTTTAGTCTTCTCTGATCACTGAAAGGTTAAAGACTGAAGACTAAAAAGTTCCCTTCTGAAGTCTGTCGGTGTAGGACTTTCTGTTAAACCTGGCAATGTGTCTGGTTGTTTATCTAACAACAGAAACTAAAGGGAACTGCTGAGATTAACACCAGCAGAACGCTGTGCTGCTCATTTAGCCCGGCTACCATTACCCCTCTACAGGCTAAATGCTCTTTAAGCAAAAAGTGATATTTAACTGGAAATTTACACAATGAACTGCCTAAGTGCACAAACTGTTATTCCTGCCAAATGTCGATTTTCACTCACTCAATGAAAATGCTCCACCTGGCTCTTACGCCATGAATAATTCAAACATTACAAGGCAGGAGCACAATTAAGTGCAGATGATGAATAATGTAAATAACAACACCTGCGACTGTTGAAAAGTTCTGGGAAGCAGCCAGTGTTTTCTGGACCTATGCACCTATTTTTGGACATTTAGATAATAATAATAATTGTTTACACTTATATAGAGCTTTTCTGGACACTCCATTCAAAGTGCTTTACAGGTAATGGGGATCCCCTCCACCACCACCAGTGTGCAGCCCCACCTGGATGATGCGACGGCAGCCATAGTGCGCCAGAACGCTCACCACACATCAGCTATCAGTGGGGAGGAGAGAAGAATAATGAAGCCAGTTCAGAGATGGGGGTTATTAGGAGGCCATGATTGTGAAGGGCCAATGGGAAATTTGGCCAGGACACCGGGGTTACACCCCTACTCTTTTTGAGAAACGCCCTAGGATTTTTAATGACCACAGAGAGTCAGGACCTCGGTTTTATGTCTAATCCGAAGGACGGCGCCTATTTGTCAGCCAATGCATACATAAAGTAGTTGAAAATTAATCACAGCCTGGTAAGAATACGTTAGGAGTTTTCAGATCATTTTTTAAAATATTTTTTAAAATATGTTAAAAAAATAACTTTAAAAGAAATAACCAGGGATAAACTACAAAGACTTGTTGAAAAGAAACTCAAAGTGCAATTCATTCACCTCTGAGTGGAGAAATTATCTCGAACTGGTCCAGTAAAATGCCCATCTGTATAAATAGGTACAGATATGAGATCCCTTGAATAAAAGCTTCAGTAAGTAAAAGCCTACTGACAATAATCACATTGATGAATGTGCAACAGATGCCACATTAAGGTGATTAAAAGTCAAAGGAGTAATACTTGCGTGATACGTTTAAAATTCAAGAAAAATCTTCCACAGAGAACCTCAGAGCAAATAATATTAACTGGGAAGAAAGAGACGAATACGATCTTCAGTCATGTACGTTTGGGGTACAGGGGGCCAGTCCCGCCGTCCCAGAATCAAAGCCACTCACCCGATGACAACGAGCCCAAGGTCCGCGTGGCCCTCCCCTGCCCCGGTACCGTCGCTGTGAGGCAGCCGGACATGAGGAGCGAGGCAGGACACCAGGCTGGTGGCGGCGAGACGCATCGGGGCAGAGGGTCCAGGAGAGGCTAGGGGCCCCTCTCGGTCATTCGCCCCGCTGCCCGGCACCGCAGCGCCCTACACACCACTGCCATTCCACGCTCACCAGCAGTCAGCTGGCCTGAGCAGAGGCCCTGCAGGACGGGCCTGTGGATTCCCTCTGAGAGACCTGAAGACACGGAGCGGCTGCGGGGGGGGGAGTCGGCAGCGGACAGCTCATCACCTCCAGTTCTCGGAGATCCCTGCGACTGCGGTCTGCGTTAGCTCCTGGGGGCGGCCCCGCTGCGCTCCAGCATCTGCAGCTGGGAGCCAGCCCACTGTGACTCACTGGACTGGTGCTTGGACTACGCCACAGCGCATGAGGTAGGGTTTCAGTACCATCCTGGGAGCCTGTCTCCACCCACCAACCTAAAATGTCCACACCAAAGCAACAGCTGAGCTGGCAGAAGCTGCTGTGACCTGCTCATCTGTGAAAGCGGAATGCTGAACAGCATAAGCAGGAAGGGATTCTCGACACCACGGACCAGGAAGCAATTACAGGTGGAACTGAAAAAGCATGAAAAAACAACCCTTCTCTCGGTGTAAGATCCAATTAGCTTATGTCCATGTTTGATCGGCTTTTCTCCTCAGGTAACAATCAAAGGGCAGCGAGGAGTGTTGTTTTCGCTACAGTAATTATATTTCAGACGGCTCTTTGGATGCCCGTAGGGAAACACTGGACTCGAATTCAGCCTCGGCTCTGCTCATTACATGCAGTGAACAGCTGAAAAGGAAAATACGATTGTGAGGATTTTGGAGTTCTGGTTGCTGTTTGCCATTGTGGGCTTGTACCAATTGCTGTATCTCCTTTTCTCCTTCGGGAGTGGAAGTCTCCTGTGGGCATCTGTGCATCAGGAGCGTCTGTGTGGCAGTGCTCACAACACTGTGCACCTGTGTGTGTGTGTGGTGCTTCCAGTGTTTTTCCTACAGCATCTGTGTGAAGCGTTCCCTCTCTCTCAGGTCACGATTGTAAAAGATATTGATTTACAAGTTCATTTTCCTGCAATGAATAGAATATATTATTCAAAACCCTTGCTCTTTTAGATGTCAATAAAATATATATATTAAAATAAATGATGTTCATGTAGTTAATTAAACTACATAAAAATGTGTACGCCTTTTTAAATGCACATTTTCTGAGCATTCCTTTTATTTCTCCTTTTTTAACAACCAAATAAGAACTGTAATAGCCCTCTATATTTATTAACAATGTTTGCATATGATCTAGTCCAAGGAAGCTGAGAAAGATCGCCTCTCTGCCGTAAGAATGATGTCAGTCTCAAAGGAACAGAAATCCAATGGGGGTCAATACCTTGTTTTTCTCTTTATATCTATATATCAGCCCTATAGAAAAGAAGCTACTGAGTGGCTACCAACTGAGAATATCACGATTAGAGGCTGCTGAGCCAGGCGAATTGACAACTCGTCCCTTCTCCAAAGCCCAGGAGACACATCTCCCCACACGGTGAAGTAAGAGACTGTAGGGATATTTATGAGCTCATTTCACCTCATACTTCCAGGTTGTGTTAAGCAGCAACACTTGATGGTATCCTTTAATATCATATTATGAGTTTCACAGATCTGCTAAGCTTTTCAAGGCACTTAATAGCAGCATAGAGATTTTATCTGATCATTATGACTTTGCTCTGTAAGGACAGTAAACTACCTTTGAGAGAGCAAAAGATCTGTTTGAATATCCCCGCAATATAACAATAAAATAGCCCCCAAACAACGATGAAAATGAACAGCTTCTTCAACATTTAAAATAAAGTTAAAATGTATAATAAAAAATAAAACTACTGGTTTCTATTTGGCTATTCTATTATATTCTAACCAAGTTCTATTGGTTAGAATATAACATATCAAAACTAATGGTCAGTAATCTTTGACAAAGGATGCAAATTGTACCTCATCTAATCACTGTGATATTGTGATTTAAAGCAATGATGAAAAAGTCACACAATCAATTAAAACCATAAAAGTTTAGCACAAATGACATTCCATATCAATACAGATACAAATGATATTTCCATATTTTCGAATCATTTTAATGCTTTTCATTTCCAGTCTCATTGTCCTGACCTACTTATCATCCTCAGGCACGGCACTGGTAATGTCAAAACAACAACATAACCATACTATCGGACAGGGAATATATACTATAGAGCATAAAGATATCTCAAGGCCAGTTAATCTGTCACCAGGTAGTTGTTATCTGCGAGTCTCCACAAGTAGGCCAGTTGATTTTATGACTTCATAAAGTCACTGTTTTTAAAAGACTTCTCATTACTGTTAAAAAATAGACACCAGCACGGTTTTATCTTTGTACCTCTGTACATCACTAACCATAAATATAAAAAAACTTCACTGTCTCTAAGTTAATTGCATGTTTGTTTTTATTGGAAGACTAATGCATCTAAAAGCTAGTGTTTTTCTTTGATTTTCTAACATAGAACTCAGAAATGCTGAAGAGCAAGGGGCCCAGCACTGAGCCCTGAGGAACACCAGACTTAAGTCCAATTTCAGACCTATACCCATTAAGAGAGACTAAGTGACAGCGATCATTGAGTCAGATTTGAACTTGTGTAGTCCTTTTCAGTTCTTCTCTTGCCATTTACACTATTCATTTACATCCATTTACATCCTACAAATTTCAAATCAATGACTGATTCCTGTGAAACGTCACACTGATTCAACTACAGATTAAAAAAAGATTACACAGAAACGTGTACATATGGTGTATATCAGCATGTTGCAAGCTTTTTTACATTAATAGAAGGCATGCACTTTTGTACCTTTCCACTGCTATGTTATCCCTTGCTCTCTTGCTACATTTGTGCCTTTAAACTTTTATATTTAGTTATAGAAACCAGCAGTACATTTCACAGTCGGGTAAAATGCCATGAAAGCAACACACAGGTTTGAAATGAAACAATCCAGAGCAAACCCAGCTTGTGGTTTAAGCAAAAGAGGCCCTTTGTAGCCCTTCAGTCCAGCCCATGCCTGTCGTGATCTGGGCAATGTCCTTAGCTCACCCTGAGCAGGATTCTCAGAAGAATGGTGAACACCTGCTAGATCGCTTCTCTCGCCACTTTGCCACGGTGTCTGTGGTTTTAGCTCAACAGCGCCCCACCGTGGTTTTGCTGGGTGCCTGCAATCTTGCAGAGCTGTCGGCAAGAGCCGCACCACTCTCACAAACTAATAAAACTCTCATTTTCGCCAGGGTCTTAAACAGCACAAAACGAAAAGGCGCCTGGCTCTAGCCTGACATCACGAAGCACAGCTCTCATCCCCACACGCTACCCTGAGGGGAGCGTGCTTTGGAGAGGAGTATGAACGAACAGCTGGGGATTCCCAATCAGGGTTGGGGCATAAATGAGGCAAATCTATCCATCAAACATTATCCACCCATTTTCTGACCACTTTGTCCAACACACAGGCACACACGCCAGGGTATTTGGACTGTGGGTGGAAACCAGACCACCCGGAGGAATCCCACACGATCACAGGGAGAACAAGCAGGTTCCACACAGAGAGTACCCCAGATCTGGACCAGAACCGAGGACCCCAGCACTGCGAGACAGCATTGCTAAGAGCATGCCCCACAAGAGCAAATGAAATGGAAAAAATAAAAGTGCAACTAAGCATGGAAAACATCCAGTACATGTAAAAAGATTGAAGGCCCAGGAAAAAAAACTGTAACAGGAAACAGGCATTGAGAGTAACTAAACCATCTTATTCTATCAATGAACACACGCTTTGCAAATATAACAGACTTTGTATCGCAGTTATGTACTTGAACTTAAAACAGATGGTTACTGTGTTGTATGAGTAAACATATCTCCTGCCAGGCGAGAGATATGAAATACATACAGTGGATATCCATGACTACAGCCTTCCATAGCATAAATGGTCCTAAACAAAATACATTTTAGTGCTTAAACAAGAGGGGGGAATCTCCTGCTTTTTGTTTTTTGCATTAAATATTGAATAAGCCTGAACGAATGCAAAATGCTTTAATCAACTGGTTTTCAGGAGGAAGAAGAAAACTAATTAGGATCTGAGTGAAGGTTTCAATGGCCTGTGAAGTTAATGAGGAAGCCCAGCACACAAGGGGGATCGTGTGTCTCTGAAAGAGCGAACACCAAATAAATTTGCTGGATTGCATCCAGGGCCTCATAAAAAATATATTGACAGCAAGGATAAAGAAAGGTCCACACTACTGAAATGGATCTACTTTTCTATGGGCATTTATGCTGAAAACAATGGGACAGTGATTTCACGGTATGAGCATACACACAACTTTTCCTTCATGTCTGGCATTCTTTAATTACATGATCCTCAAAGTCTTGTTACCTTTATGCCATCTTCCAATTTTTTTCAGCAACCAAATGCTGCTTAGATTGCGTTGCCTGGACGAACACAGACATACAAAACAGACCGGCATTTTTCCCCTCTGTGCCTTCGTATTACCTTGCGAAAAGCAATTAGAAACAAAGCATCAGAAGCTGGAGATGGGGGCGTTTGTCATTTGAGTCAAAGCAAAATGAAGCCGTCATAAAAAAACAGGGAGAGTGCTTGTTAGCTTCAGAAATATGGTTTGGGGTCGTGTACACAATGCACCCTAGTTTTCTGTTCCTTTCATTAGGCTACAGCCTCAGCAGGGTGCAATGATGTCAAGTTTACCCTTGAGCTCCGGTGTGCATGACAGGACCTGTGTTATGGAGATGTAAGGATAGCTTTTAGGGTACAGCTCAATGTAAGGACCAACTAACGAGCACGGTGAAAAACACACTCAGGCTGTAGGAGGCACAGACACTTGTCAGAAACTACAGTGGCAGCACAGGCTGTCGTCCGCACTCAACTGCAGAGAACTCTGACGAAGACACGTCTCATTTGAAGGCAGAGAGAGCGGTGCTGGTGAAACTTCCAGAAAACAAGTAGTTTGAGTGCACATTTCCCAAAGCTTAAGGTGCATCTAGGTGGTCCAAACCAACCTGCTTCTTTGAGACAATTACCTCCGTCTGGTCAAAATACAGTACAAGCTAAATGCAAATAAAAAGACAATTCTGACAGCATGTCCCAGGACACCCACCTGCGTGGCGTTTTGTCTTACAGCTGGGTATGTGATGACTTTGTTAAGAATGGGGTACTGATCTCCGGGAGGGAACGGCAGAAGAAAGAGGATCTTTGAGAAAGGACAGTTGCCCGCATCCTGTCTTTGCAGACGCAACCACCAGGTGTCAGTCTAGCACCACTCTGAAACATGTTCAGCTCAACTGTGAACAAATTGTGCCATGACATTGTTCATTTGTTTGTGAGCGGCTAAATAATGTCTCACTATTTTCGTTTCTATCATTCTAAATTTAAAATTATACAAAAACTCAGTTATGACGTTTGTACAGAGCGTACACTGTATACATATACATATACAGTGTTGAGGAAATATAAAAATGTCAGGTGCCAGACTAAAGTTATGAAATAAAAAAAGATTAATATGAAACACCTTAGAAAATGTACTAGGAGAAACATACAAGGAACATCTAATCACACACATTAAATTATAATATTGTCATTATCATTTGTCAATGCATGGCATTTTCTTTTTTGTGATTAGTTTACAATAAAAATATTTTTTTCTTTCAAATATTTTAGTCGTCGAAATGCAACATCTAGGGTTATTTTGACATGAAAGCATTGTTTACATGCAAAGTGGATAATCTTGTCTTGGACGTGGATGTTCAACTTCAGAAACGTAACACAAGCAAACTCTAGTCATGAGGGTTCAATAAACCGATAACCTACTTTGTCAAATAAGTATATTTTAGTCTACAACATTTTTACAAGGATTCAATTATTAAAGAAGGTTTTAAAATGGATTTTCCAAATACTTGTGTGTGACTTAAATCTTTTAAAATCTTACAATATTAAGATAAAACAGTTTTGCACTACAGCTCCTGTTCAATAAACAAAACAAAAAATACTAAAAATTGACAAAGGTTATAATTAAATTGGAGGTGTAGAAGGAGCAATTAGATACTGCTTGTACCCAAGGAAAGACTATACACTCCGGTTCTTCGACATTAGCATTTTATTAATTAGTTATCTTGAGTCTGGCTTTTGTGGGGATTATGTAATTAAATATTGAAGTCCGCGGTCACAGTGCCAAGATCGAGTAAAGGACATATTTGAATAAATCAACAGTACAGTTGTAAGCTAAATCTCGGGTGCCTGTGTAGAATGTAATGTCATTTCGCATACTGTACAAATGTCAGCTGTGTTAAAGGAAGGAACTGCCCAGACAATATAAAATATACAGGAGGTTGGAGACCTGAGCAAATGTTGTTGGGCGTACTGATTGTGTAGCCAGAATAAATCTAGGACCTTGCATCGGGAGGGTGGTGTGGTCCCAACCAGGAGTCCGTTGTTGAAAAACGGGATGTGAAACGGATCCCTGTCAGCTGCCCCCATCCATCTTACGAAAAGAAAATTACAGAACACCGCAGAAAATAGCTTCTCTCACTGCACGGCATCGGAGCGGTCTTGAATCTTAGGTTTGAAGACGTGTTTCGTAGAGGTTGTTTGAGAAACTTTTTTTATTATTATTAAAATCCTCTTTAATCAAAATGCGTTACGATGAATACCCGCCCAGGCGTCATGCAATCATTAAACACAGACGAACCTCATTAGATGTTCAGTTTCTTTTCTACCACGGCGCTTATAGAAACCCGGTTTTGCGTTTGACCTCGGGCACAGGCCCGTAACACAGTTGCTTGGACCGTACGACTTCTATTTAACGCATAGGTGATTAAAGGCATCTTTTGAAGAAAGACGTGCTTATAGATAGCTATCCGTAGGCTTTTATCAGCTTCGTTTCTTTTAAACGACTGGGACAGTGTAAGATTTGAAACAGATGTGCAAAATCTTGGAGAATTACTTTGAACTGTCCTCTTAACAATTACTATCACTACTCCCACCACTGCTGCAGCAGCATCAGAAAACAACCTGAAAGAAGAACACCTCACCTCTGACTGTGACTGGCCTCGGGCTCCGGTCCTCCGGTCCCCCGCTCTATCAGCGCTTGTAATTTGCTAGAAGCTTTCCAGGACGATGAATCGGGTAAGATACCTGTAGGTGTGGGTCTCGTTGTGCCGACAGTGCCGCTGGAAACTGCGGGGCTGCGTTTGGCAGAACTGAAATGCAAGGATTTCAGACTTTGGGGTGGCTGGACGTGGGCTGGGATCTGCGTGAAAGCGCCCGAGCTCGACCCACCGGGCTGTGCAGGAGGGAGAGCCCGGGTCCTCACAGGCACGGCTGGGCTGCCCGCCGACGTGTGACTCGGGCTAGACACTGGAGACGTCCTCACTGTCACGGCGGACACCGAAGAAGTCAGCGACATCCCCTTAGGAACTGCGGACAGGACCGAGTGTCTTGCGGCGTTGGGTGTTTCTGAAGCACCGGGCGGTGGTGAAGTTTTGAAGATCTTTTCAAATATGGTACCCAGGTCCAGTACTGCAATCTTCATACTTGAACCGAAAACCAAAGCGGTGATTAAAAAAAAAATGATGGTGCTAATAGTAGAAAATAACCTTAAGCACCCACCAATATCGTATCTTTTTCGATTTCTTTTCGTTTCTGTCTAGGGAACATCTAAAAAAAGAAAAACCTCCCGGTAGTTGTATTTCAGCTACAAACCTCACAGCTTGTGGGTATCCAGGTGTTAACCTGATACTGCGCGCACCGCTCCAGGTTTGCCGCTCATATACTATTACCGATTTATATCTGATAAGGAAATTGTAGCTGTCTGTCAGTCTATACAGCAAAGCAATAACTGTCTTGAAGGAACAGGAGCTTGCCATCATACTCCAGTCGGGTGGCAGGAGCAGGACCCGTTGCTATGCACAACAAAAGCTGAAGTCCCGATTAGACCTTCTCGCGTCGTGGTGCTCTTTTCCCTTCATCCGCGCGAAAAGGTGTGGGAAAGCACAGACATATTCCGGCGACAGTGAGTCCGTACTTCATACACCGCTAAAAACGGGTCAGTAAAATATAAACCATCATAGTTAGTATTGCATATTGGTGTAAAGCAAGTCAACAAAATCAGTAATGTTCTCTATGCGATGTATTACTATTTAAATTATATAGGAACGAGTAATAGGTTTATTCCCTGCTGAAAAGAGAAGAAAGGAAACGCAACGTTTCGGGCGTGGAGGCTTCTTCGGGTGTTTTACTATTGTGCTGGAAAACAATTTTCTCGGAAGCAAAATAAGTCTTTCCTTTTCTAACGTGCTTCTCCTCGCACACCTGAAGAAGGCTCCACGGCCGAAATGTTGTGTTTTCTTTCTTCTCTTTTCAGCAGGAATAAACCTTTACCTGTTCCTTTACAGCCTACGCATGCTGACGCAGCTGCCCACCCGAATTATTTTAAATGATATATACTGTACATCTATAAGTTTAAGATGATCAAGATCAAGAATTAAACACCGGGGAACCGCTAAGGGGAAGGTGTGAGGCTATTTGACATGTGCGCAAACAGGAGATGACACTGTAAGATAAAAAAAGAAAGCACGTTACAAAAGAAAGGACTTCTTTTGCTTCTGAGAAAATTGTTTTCCAGCACAATAGTAACTCTAAACACATTTTTAAGAATTGCTCACGTACCTTAAGTCAAAACACAGAGCAGAACGGTCTCCGACCTCAGCGGGTACTTGAATGGATGAAGGCGTGAATGGCTCAATTTCTATTACAGAACCCTCTGGCAGGTTCAAAAGTGATCCCGAAAAAGTCCGCAGTTAAATGGCAACAAAAGCGAAGTCTTTGAAAAAGATTAATATATAGTATGTATAACTAAATCTATATTGATTTTTATTTTCCCTTCTGTAATTGTAACCCCTGCAGATATCTCCATTACGTTAGCTGTCCACGTGTTATACAGTATAAAGAGTATAGGAGTGAACAGTGACCTTTAAATAGCTCCGTTTGCAATTTGCTGTCTTTTCTACTGATGTCTAGTTTGCAACAGTCGCCCGTCTCGGCTTTCCTGGTATTAAAATAGAACAGAAAACTGTCACCTGGAAACAAAGGGAGCCGGAAACCCGATAAGTAAGCCTTTCTGTAGAGATCATGTTTTCACCAGGTTAACATCTTCAGTTATCAGCATAGCTGTAAATTGAACCTCCTATTTTAAATAAACCGTCCAGACAGCTACAACCAATTATACCAGTGAAAGCCTTACCTACAATATGTTGAGTCTGTTCACAAATACTGTATACAGTATATTCATAATTTTATCATCACAGGCTGATTGATTATGGCACAGCGATTGCTGCATTTTTCTTTGCTGCTGCATTTTAGAAAGGGTTTTTAAATACTGAGCTTATTTGCATCCAAATGATGCAGCTCCAACTGCTGAAAACACTTAATAGGTCAAGGGGTTGTGTTAAAAGACTCATTTTCAGGTATAAGAGTGTTTCTAATTCATATGCACTTCAGTATCACCTTTTAACGGGCCTCCATAGGCTTGCATTTCATTTGCTTTCACCTTGAGCCTCAATGGTGTGAACCTCACAGCTGCCCAGAGGCGATAGCCGTATCAACTGCTTGAACCATCAACCACACGTCCATACAGTACAGCATCCTGCTGCAGGTTTATCCACACACATTCCAAGCAAGATCCTGCAGCTTCAATATGCCAACAAAAAGCTGTGACTGTGAGGTTTCAGCTTCCTTTCCCAGTCCCAATACTGGTCTCAGGCACAGAAGCATGAAGGGAAAAAAAGGAAATCAGTCTTAGATCATCATTCCATCACATTTTATTCTGCATTGCAATCTCTTTGACACTGAGAACACAAATGGTATTGTCCTATATTGAGGAAAACGACCACTTGACACAGGAGCAAATCCTAAGCAGGGTTACTGTTAGAACAATGGTCTCAGACATAATTATTTGTCCCATTAGGGCAGAACAGCCCCGTTGGTGCAAGGATCTCTACGGCATAATTTATTTCTTTATTACTTCTGTTCAGGACTCTAAAACAGTTCCCCAGAAATGATTTTCTGGCCACAGCAGAATACCCCCAAACATGTTATTCAGCTTTGCTCTGCAACAGGCTGCAGCCTGACGCTTGGCGTGTTCTTGAGATGGAAGTGCACTTGAACAACACGTACAGTACAAGCGTTGTGTAAAGCAGGTGTGTGCTGACTTTCCCTCTCTCTGCATACAGCACAAGCATCTTTGTGAACTCAAGAACACCAGCTTCTTGACCAAATGAAGAGAAGCACAACACCACAGAAAACAAAAGGGTTAATGCACTCTGTTACTCAGACCCAGTGCCACCTTCAGATGCTGGTGAAATGCTGGAATGCGTGTCCTCTGTAGGGGCCAGTTTAAAATGCAGCGTGAATTCAGCATGCCCCGCCGGATATACAGACAGTGATTTAATTTGTGGTCCGGGATGTCGTCCAGAAAGATCAAAACAATCGAGTCACGGCTCTCCTCGATTACCTGATGTAAAGCATGATGAACCGTAAACCTGTGGAGAAAAACCACAGGCAGACGTCACTGACAAGAGCTGTTTTCTTAAGAGACGGAGACGCTTCAAATCTGGGTCATAATGATCTTTTTGGCGACCTTTTTTCACTGTGTAACTTCATCTTATGCTGCCCTTTAAATTATTTAGTTTTTAAGTCTCATTACGGTTCCATCGGAAACTTCACCGTTGCGAACATGTTTTCTAAATTGAAAAAGTATACCCAACAGTCAACAGACATCAAGCAGAAAAACAGTTGCACCACTTTCGACAGTCACAGCCAAAATGCTTTTTGAGACATTCTGATGAGTTGATTAGTCATCTATCCATCTATGAATTGGCTTCATCACTCTGCTCTCCTCCCCACTGAGAGCTGATGTGTGGTGAGCGTTCTGGCGCACTATGGCTGCCGTCGCATCATCCAGGTGGGGGCTGCACACTGGTGGTGGTGGAGGGGAGTCCGCACTAAAGCACTCTGAGTGGAGTGTCCAGAAAAGCACTATACTGTATACTGTAAGTGTAAGCAATTATTATTATTATTATTATTATTATTGTTCATGACTGCCTGTAATACACTCCAGCAGCTTTTACCATTGAAGAAGCACAAAGTCCCCACATCTGTGTAAGATTTCATTGGGAACAAGTGATCTGTTAAATGTCAAGTCTGGTGAAATTCAAGCAAAAAAGACCTAGAAAGCAACCGATATACCCCACTTATCAAGAGAGCAGCAACTCTGTTCCTTTGTTATGCTGGAGCAGAACCTCTAGTGGACCCTGCAGCAAGTGGAGCCCTGTTTTTACAGCAAATCAATGTTTTATGTCCTCCATCCTGATTCATGTGATAGTGGTTCAGGAAGTTTTTACTAACCACCCTGATTCACGTTAATGTGGTCCAGAGGTTTTGTGTCAGCCACCTTGACTGATGTTAGTGTAGTTCAGATGACTGGCATGAGTTACTCCTATAGGCTGTTGTTTACAATTATATATCAGTGGTCAATGATCAGAAGTAATAAATTCATGGTGTCACTTACCTTCTGCATAAAGGGTCCTTTAAAAGAGCTTCGGTTACAACAAATACTATTTTTCTGCACTGGCGAATTGTCTCAACAATATTTTCTAAGTGTGGTGTCCCAGGCAGAAAGTCCCGATCCTCAAAGCAAAATGTAAAAGGATTTTCTTCTAAGGGAGTAAGATTCCTTTCCACCCATTCCCAGTCTTCTTGGGCGTGGACTATATAAGCATCATATTCAAACCTGTTTTCCCCCAAGTCAACTTCCTTGTACCCAAGAATCCGATTACCCAGGACATTCCAGAAAAACTGGATTCTCCACCCCTGGAAATGGATGAGAAGGGCCATTGCCATGAATGTGAGCAAAAAGCTACTGGTGGTAACGAACATGGGTTTGAATGGGGCCTGGTCCTGACAGGGCGATGTGTCAAACAGGACAAGTGAGCTGTTGTAGTATTTAGGAGGTGTGTTGCAAACGTATTGGGAGCTTAACTGAGGAACACTGGCATTGGTCACATTGAGCCAGTTGACAAACCACAGGACACTATCGCAAGTGCAATCGAAAGGATTCTTCTCTATATGCAGCACGCTCAGATTGCGGAAGACTGGCCCAAACACGGTCTCTTTCACAGACGTGATGAAATTCTTCTGCAGCTTCAGCACTCTCACGGACGTGAGGTCATTAAAAACGTTGTCCGGAAGTACATTCAGGTAATTCAAACCCAGGTCGAGCTCCAGAAGGTGAAACAATCCTTTGAAGCCATCAACAGGGATTTCATCAAATCCATTCGAGTCCAGCTGAAGTACTTCAAGCTGAGGCACGTCCTTGAGAAAGAGTACAGGTCCCCCAGGATTGGCCTTTTTCCACAGGCGAGCTAAATTATTATGCTGTAACTTCAGAATCTTTAGATCATGAAGGCCACTAAACAGACCAGCATTTATGTTAGCTAAATTGTTATTACTGAGATCCAATACAGTGAGATTCCCTAAAGGCTGAAATGGACAAGGATGCAGGTCCAGACTGTCAATCAGATTGCTTCCAAGCATCAGGGTTCTCAGAGTGCGGGTGTAGTTGAATGACGAAGGGGTCAAAGTGATTTTTTTGTTGTAAGACAAGAAAATTTCTTCTATGTTGTTAAGTCCTTCAAATTCCCTTCCTCCTAAGACCTGTGAAATTTTGTTTTGACCCATGTACACTTTACTTAAATTTCGAAGCCAAAAGAAAGCTCCAACATCCAGGTATGAGATTCCTGTTTTCGTGAGGTCAAGGATCTTGAGGGGAGACTGGGCCAGAGATGAAAATGTCACATTAGTCACAGTTTTCAAGTTAAAATAACTGTGGCTCAAACTCAGATACTTTAGGCTTTTTAACCCTGTGAAAGTGTTACCTGTGATTTCTCGGAATGCATTGCTTTCCATAGCTAGAAACTCCAGGTTCAACAGATTCTGAAAAGCAAAGTCATCAATCACCGGATAAGAAGACGACTTGTGCTTTTTAAGGGACTTGGTGAGATTTAAAAATTTTAGGCTACCCAAACCAATAAACATGTCCTTAGTAAAACGTTTAAAGTTATTCTCCGCAAGGGATAGATTTTCTAGACTGTGAAGCCACTGAAAAGAAGAACGCTGCACTGCAGGTATTTCGTTTTTAGAGAGGTCCATAGACGTAAGGTTAGTAGACTGCAGTCCTTTAAAAGTGGTGTTCAGCAAGGTCAATAGCGAGGTGTCCTGCAGCGAAAGGCTACGAATCTTGGTTTCCGACAATTCAGAGCACAGCTTGGCCATCAGGGGATGACCCAGTTTACTGCCATCCATAACAAGGACACTGAGTCTTCCAATGCACTGGAAGCAGCCCGGCTCAAACTGAGAAAAGAAGAACACGGTAGTTAGAAAAACAACTATCTTAATCCAACAAGGGTTATTCTATCTAATAAGGAACACGTCCTGCATGATAAACCTCATAGAATCGTCTGACCAAACCAGACTTGGGTTCCATTGCATTTGCACATACTGTACTCTCCAAATGATTTTATGATTGTATTCACTTGTGTTCATGAGAGTGAGACCAGCTGATTAGCAATGGATTAGCACCTGCTTGACTCTTAAAATCGAACCTGTTCATAATCTTTTTAACCTTTGAAGGTAAATGAATGCCTTGAAGTGGCTGAGAAGAGTGAGTTTGACCTGAATGGATAAAATTGACTTAAAACACTTGCCGAAGATGAGTGGTAACAGCACATCACATTGAAGGTGCATTAAAATACCTGCCTGGTAAAATTCCACTTCCTTTTTCTTGAATAATCTGTTAATGTATACATGTACTGTATAATCTAACCCAGAGAAGCCTTCAGTTCTACAAAGTTGTCTGGCCATGCAGGAGAGGTGTGGTGCATCAGTATACACTATAGTGCATTTGAAAGGCTTCTGGCTGGTATACTAAGCCAAATAAAATTAATATACTGTTAAAAGTTGCAACTTATTTCTTGCAGGTTATCTCTATACACTGTTGCTGTAATACAATGCATATTCAGAACATGCACAAACACAATTACTGCATAAAACCCTCAGTTCCACATGAAAATTCTACTTTTGACCACTACCTTAACTGCAACCTTCCAAAATATGAACCCCACAACAGGGTAGAAAGCACTACCTTTTTAAGAGGGAGAGCAGATAGTTTCAGGATCTTCAGTGAGGCGTTGCTGAGGTAAGAGAAGTCATCGGCCTTTAGAACAGAGATTGCGTTCCCAGATAGTATGAGCTCTTCAAGGTTCAGGAGCTGAGGATGTGTGCCAAGCTTTGCAGAGGTCAGGTCATTGCGAGACACGTCAAGCCTTTTCAAACTCTAACAGAAGAAGAGAATCACAATACACAGTGTGAAATGCAGCTGGTGAATTTGGGTATGATTTCACCTTGGCAATATTTGTTACTTTCAATACAACAATTCTTTTTAATCCATTATGAAACTTAAGTGACCTGTTTTGCTTAAGAAATGTTTGTGATCCTGGATTTGTGAAACTGTGGATATTAAATATATGTTCAGATAATCAGAATTTCAAGAAAACGTAGGTCCCTCCTTTTGGGGAAAAAAAATGTACTGTTTTAAGTCTTGGCAAGCAAAAAAATCCCATAATGGAGTCTCCTACCTGGAGACATTTAAAAGGTTCGCCTTTCAGTTTTAACCTGTTGCTCGCCAAGTACAGTTCAGTGAGGTGGGTGCAGTTCTGCAGCATGGCCTCCGTCAGGACGTGCACTTCATTGTGGTACAACTTCAGGACCTGCAGTTGAGGAAGTGTAAGGCACAGCTGGGGATCAATTGCCTGGATACTGTTAAAACCAGCATCGAGATAATACAACTGGTGGTACCGGGACAGGGCCGAAGAGGGCAGTGTTTTCAGCTGGTTGTGAGAGAGGTCAAGAGCCGTGATGTTCTCTGGTAGATAAGAGGGGACATTCTGAAGTTTCAGATGAGTGCAGTCAGCCTTTCGATTTTTAATCTCGCAGTGGGTCTTTTTCTGGTCCGCGTGGCAAACCTCTGGTGTGAAAAACGCCACCTCAACAATCACGAGAAACAGAATCATCTTCCCTCTCCCGTGATCTCCGAAAGGCTCACCCTGAAAGATATCAGTAAGAGCACGAATATTATGCATCTCAAATGAACTAGTAGAGGTAAAAACGTAGTGCTGTGCAGGATACCATGCACAAGAGTCATTTTTAAATTGACAGTCGTTCCACTTCAGGTGCTACAAATGGGTGATGTTCATCTGCTTTGTGTCCACCTATTATCAGAAAGCAGTATCTTCCTGGTCAGAGTTGCAGGGTCCCAGAGTCTATCGTAGAAGCCTGTAGTGCAAGGCAGAATTGCTGCCAGGAATGTGACAGCGGTGTTTTGCAAAGCACACTTTAGAAACACCACCTGCCTTTGGGAGGAGGGAAGAAACCAAACTCGGACATACATGAGAGAACAGTCGAGCTCAACCCAAGGTTTCCTAAACCACAGTCAAACGCAGAACTCAAGAGCTGTGAGGTGGCAGCAGCCCTAACCGCTGTGTACAGCTGCTGTTAACTTTCGCGAATTTTCAGAGTAGCACCTAATCAATGATATCAAATAAAAACTTTACGAATATAGTCAACGTTATTGACACCAGGGCAGAAATAACCTCCTGTAAATCTTTACAATAATTAGTACAAGAAAGGACTGCTTTTAACAATGCTTCATTATACTGTACGTCATCGGAATCCAAAAGCACTTATATTGCTTCCGGACGCTTTTGTTTTCATCATCATATTTTTCTGTTGCCCGGCAAGCAACAGACCAAACACTTTGTAACAGACGCAGCGCCGTAATGTCTGGGGTTTTAAAGAAACAATAAAATAGACATCGTTAATCCCCCCCATCATCACAAAACTTCTAAAATCAGTATTAATACTACTGCACACAAAAAAATAACGACAGCAACACAACTAGTTCAGCTCGGTTCAAAATGACCCTACGAAGCTGGGTATTTTCGTTTTTTATTGAAAACAAATGCAATCGAAATAGGTTCTTTTTACATTTTTAAGCATCCCCACCCCATTCTGAGAAAGTAAAAAAAAAAAACAGCTCTTATTTTAATATCTTTAGCTGCGGCGCACTGAAACTTTTTAGCCTGGGGTAACAAATGCAAACTGAGCAGGCTACTGTATGCCGACAAAAAATTGTTTTCGTTATCCCAGTCGAGGCCTAAAACAATTTTCCTATTAAAACAAACACGACCCCTCGCTTCCACGTTTTTCGTCTCTTGTTCTGGAATGCCAAAGCAAACAAAACAGGAAGCTCTGCACTTACCTCTGGAAACGAGAATCACTCTTCTCCTGCGAGTGAAATTTGCTTCAAGCTTTCAACCGCCTGTGACTCAGTATTTAGATAGCGGGCGGAGCCGGACTTGGCACTTTTGGGCACCAGAGATCCCTGCTTCTATGATGTAGTGTAAAATATCAAAAGTTAAAAAACTTCACTGCGTTGCTGTATATTCGTACCCGATCTCGGATGCGCTTCAGTTACGCAGGTCCTGTGAAGTACCGGAGTACCGTGGCTTCGCTACAAATTGTCTAAAAATATTGTATTAAACGAGGGTGACCAGACATCCTCTTTTTTAGACCTAAAATATCGGTCCGATATTTATAAAAGGGATTTATAAAAGTTAAAAAATTGTCCGGGATTTTGTTTTGGTCGTTACTCAGAATTTACACGCAGCGTACAGTAGCTTGAAAAGGGTTTGTGTGTGTGTGGCCGTTTTATGGCCATGGGAAATAACGATGTTTAACTTGTTTCATTATATTTCAAAATGTTTAGTTAAAATTGTTAATTTTCGCAAACAATGAGGACTTCTCCTTAAGCTATGACGGCTTCGTTGTTTCCTCAGATGTTAAGACTTTTGTTGTGTTAAAATGAAAAAAAAAAACAACTAAGTTTAAAATAGGGCTATATTCTTGTTTTTTTCTCCCTTGTTTGCCGTTATGGAAGAGAAATAGCAACCCTGCAACTGTTCAAAAGTTTACTAAGAAGTTTAATAAAAACTAGAGAATTTAAATTGATTTTTTTAATTAGAAAAAGTAATAAAGATTCATTACTTCGGAGGCATGTGTCGAGTGTCGATTAAATCCCCCCGTCCTCTTTTTTGAAAACCAAAAAAACAGTTTGGTCACCCTAATTAAACGGCAGTGCTGAAGAACCCCGATACGCAACCTTAGGATAAGAGTTAAGAGACATGATTAAACATTTTAGCTGTGCATTAGAAAATAGGCTAATTCCTATTGTCCCGTCCGTTTTTTTTTAATTTCCCTTTTCTACGTCCGTTTTGCAAATGTTCAGAAGCGAAATTCTCGTAACCATATGCACATCGACACCTTCTAAAGCATCCATCTAAAATTCGTGACATTCCCTTTGCTCTTGTTACACTGTATGGGACAGTAGGCCGGCAATACTGTAGTTGTGTCTCCAGTCCTGTCTGCTGATTCCGCCTTCACCCTTTTCTGGGGATTTCAAGGGCTAACAAAATATGGCGAGCGAAATAACTGCCATTTACTGTATCCTTGTCTTCTCAACTAAGCTTTATTTTTTTCTGCTTAGTGCTAAAGACCGCGATAAACCATCAAACGTTTTCAGAACCACAGGTGTTGTCGATATGTTAGTGTTCTGAGGATGTTGTTAAGGCTTGTTATCTCTATCGTACTTGTTGTTTATCAGTACGTTAGGCTTCCATTTAACCGACTCCCTAACTCGGGAAACTCTCCAGCCAAGCCAAGCCGAGACCAGCGTCGCAAATAACCAGGGCCAGCAGGAACTAGGGCCAACCTCTGATCTCACCAGCAAGCGAGCCACAGTTCCTCATTCTGGCACACACTGACATGACAAAGTGGACCCGAGATAAGAAGAACTGCTCTTACAGGAGTAGAGCTCAAAGTTCTCACTGTCCAGTGCATGCGGATTTAAAACATGCAAAGCTGTTATTAATAATGATCACAGGATCGTTAGTAGTGCCAGATCCCTGCTGATCCGATGCGGGGTGAAAGAGGATCAGTGAGCAAGCAGATCCTGACTGTCTGCACAGGAACTGAACATTTGCCATATCTAAGCCCGCTGCTGTAGAGGTGAAAGCGGAATCAGCACTTTAGTCGGGTATATAAAGTACGTATTTTCTTAGGCTCTGTGGGTGTGACAGAGTTACGCGCTGGCGCTGTCTAGAGAGTGGCTCTGTGCATGCTGGGAGCAGGGGGAAAGCTGTACTCATTTCGCCACAGAAACAAGGAAGAGGGCCATTGGCAAGGTGCAGGCAGGCATGTCGTGTGCCAGTCTTGCCAGACACTATGGAGTAATCCGCTCCACTGTGTCCCGACTGCAGAGAAGGTTTCAGCAGATCGGCAGGACAGATGACCGTCCAAGATCCGGTGGTCTCGAGTGACCACACCAGAGCAGGACCGACACATCAGACTGGTCCATCTGAGAGATCGTTTCAGATCTGCCACCTGTACTGCTGCTGAAACTGCTGGCAGACACAATGCCCCCATCAGTGACAGGACAGTGAGGCTCCATGCAGCTGGCCTTAGAGCAAGGCGACCTGTCAGAGGCCCTCTGCTCACACCTCCTAGACGTCACCCTGACTGGCTTGGGCCAGACAGAGGCTGCGATGGACTCGTCAGCAGTGGCATCAGGCCCTCTCCATGGATGAGTCTCTCTTCAGCCTGTGTCACGCAACGGGAGGGCCAGAGTGTGGAGGAGGAGGTGTTGCGCTTCTTTTTTCCATCAGTATCTCTACTGTATCTCTACTCAGTCCAGTGTAAACATCAGAATAAACAAGTGGTCTCCTGTGACTTATTAAGACTTTAATTGCAAATTGCACATTCAAACTTTATCATCACCCCACAGGGCAAGTCTGTTTTGCAGCAACCATACAACACAACAACCATCACCAACAAAGAGGTCAGGGCAAATACAATTTCAGGAGCGCACCCTATGAAAACTATAATAAAAGGGATAATTATTTTACATTACTCAAAAGTGAAATTACAGAGGGGGATAAACAATTTCCTAGATCTATTACTGTTTCAGCTTGGGGTACAGAGGCATCTCTCAGATGTGAATAATGCAAATTTCACAGGGAAGAGGGTGTGCCACAAATTTGGAATGCATGGAGTACTTTGGAGTAAGCCCACTGTAATATACAGTATGTCAAATTAATTATATCATTATTACTGGGTTATCGGCAGTTTCCTTATGCTAAATGCAAAATGAATCAAAAATGTGTTCAGCTCCACTGCTAAGCTCTGATCCTCTTAACTCAGAAATACGTGACAGATGTGTAAAAATGTGTTTAAGCTGAGTCAGCTGAAAGTGCCCACTTGCAGTACATGTAGCACCAGCTACCAGCTACTCGCAGCAGTCTCTGCAGGGATGTGTAGTCAGAATCAAAAAGGCTACCTGTCTTACTGCACTGTATCCATCAATTGTTTTTTCAAGGGTGGACTTGAGGAAATTCCTACAGCACAACAGAAGTTTTACTTCTATATTCTTCGCCCATCTGTACTTGAAAAGTTTCATTTCTTGGTCGAGTGAGAGCGAGTGGTATTTTTAAATGCAAGTAGAAACTGCAGAAAAACGCGCTTCTGCATCCTCTTTGAATCCCAGGGTGAGTGTTCAATACAAACACTTCCATTGTTGAGACAGGCCGCTCCTCTTGTGCTTCTGTACTGATTGACCACGTCTAGATTTCTTGAAAAATCTCCGGGCTGTCAGACAATAGGAAAGGGGCCTTAGAGAGAAAAAAATACATTTCTGTTCGCAAATAGCGTTTTATGGAAATGTTAGATGAGGTGCTCTAATTTTTAACGGATAAATCTTTCTGTTGAGTCCTCCACTAAAGAACATTGGATTGTGTCCTTTCTTCTGGAATTTTGTTAGATTGTCCTTTCAGGTTCAGGAATGCAGATAATTTGTTCGTGTCGTTTTCCTGATTTTTGCACATCCATACTGTACAGTACGTACGTTAAGTGTAATTTATGCTGAATTAAACTGGTAACCACTGGTAACATCAGGGGTGTCCTACTGTACACAGACATTTGTCTCGTATAATGCTAGGAGACGTGCCAACACTATAGGAGATGTTAAATGTTCTTACCCTGTGAAGCCAAGGCACAGTAAACCAGCTGTCATTAATACTGGTAAATTCAGACAGTGAACTCTTGATAAAAACGACAACATCTGTATGCTCCACAGCTGAAACGTTGTTTTCTTTCTTCTCTTTTCAGCATGGAATAAACCCATTACTTGTACTTGATAAAAACGCCTGACAAGCATCAAAACCTGCTGTCAAGGACTGTGTTGGGATGCAAATAAGATGTAAAAAGGCGTTGATGCCGTAGCAGAATACAGGGTAAAGCAAATTGTATGACTGAGATTAATGGAATTATGGCTGAATTATTAACTTTAAATAAGCAAAAATGAATATCACAAATGATGATTCTCTTTTCCTTTTTTGTGGTCTTTCCCCTGAGACACAGGCTCCTCAGGGTAAGGTAGGTGTGTGTTCACTGTGGTCTTTTTCCAGCTTGGCCTTGAGTTCCTTGGCTGCTGCCTTCACTGGTACACTGGCATTTTTAAACTAACAGGAAGCTCTTTGAATGTGAACATGAATCAATTTAAGGTTATCTGTGAATGACCGGCGAACGATTTAAAAGAACCCCACGATGAATAACAGATTAGCTTTAAATGCTGCTCATTGAGAACTATCCAACTCACACAGTATCACATATATCCCTAAAGGAAATTGTGTCTGTGCATGTGCATGTCATGACACAGGAAACAATCGTACTGTCGAATCCCACAGAACCTCCTGCAGCGTCAGTGTAAAGAGCAGATTGCATGGGAATGTCAGTGTTTTTAAATGCACACATAATAGTGTCAAAGGAACAAGTAATAGGTTTACTCCATGCTGGAAAAAAAGAAGAAGAAAGAAAACACAACGTTTCGGCTGTGGAGCCTTCTTCAGGAGTGAGCAATTACTTGTTATTACCTTTTCCTTTGCAGCCTACACATGCTGACGCAGCTGCCCACCTGAACTACATAATAGTGTCCAGGAACAAGTAATAGGTTTATTCCATGCTGAAAAAAAGAAGAAAGAGAACACAACGTTTCGGCCGTGGAGCCTTCTTCAGGTGTCAATGTGTACTGTGCACATAATAGTGTCTACTCATAACAATCAAAATGAGCAAGAGTTTTGACCTTTTTCCACAAAAAAAATATTCTCATGAACTGAACATTTTATGATGCTCAAGCAGAACATGAAGATACAGTAGAAGTCTTGTGTACACCTATTGACTGCAAACATCTTTTTTTTTTTCTAAAAATCAAGAATTGAGTGCCTTTTTAATTTATTTTTTTTTGCAAAGCATG